CTTGCCAAAACTATAGATTGTTAACAATAAATGTGTGGAGTGGTTGATAAACGAGTTTTAATGACTCCAACCTAAGTGTATGTAAACTTCCGACTTCAACTGTACTACATAAGGGTTCCCCAACTGTTTTTATATATAAAATACATTTGCTCCAAACACTTGGGGCGCCCCAATGTATTTCATATATAAAAACAAAATTGTTGGACATAAAAGACTGTAACATCACCAGGAAATCAGCTCCAAGTGATTTACATTTTGGAAATCTGTTCCAAAATATTCCCACGCATGATAGAGAAATACTGTATGTGATTGTATACAAATGTAAGCAAGGTTTGAAATGATTATGTTTTAGTTAAATATGATATATGTTTGGGCTTCTTGTGGTCAATTTGCAGTCTACAAATGATTTGTAATTATGTTTCGGCCCCCTGACCATCCGCTCAAGAAAAAGTCAGCCCGTGGTTAAATCTCGTTGATCCCTGTACTACATATTCCTTTTCCATATGGACAATGTCTTCAGAGTTCACCTGAGGTACCCTAGAGAGAGTTGAAGACTTGGGTGACCTGTCAGTCAAGCTGTGACATGGAGATACCACCACCTGCTGGTCAGTTTGAAAGCTACAGTCAAGTACATCGATGAGAATGTAATTAACATCCCCTCCACCACTCAACCACTTATCGGTTTTACGGGTCGCGTAGGAGAGAGAACAGAGAAGAGCGGGTGGAGGACAGACTTTTCCCCAAATATCTGATGTCTGATGGAGGAGTAACTCGCAGTGGAAACTGACAGTGTTCTGACATAAACATTCCCTTCCAGACAGATTTGATCATTGCTCAATGGTTGAATGATCTATTCATGCGGTAACGAATCAGCTGTTGGGGTCTTGGTTGTCCTCTTCCAGGGTCTCTGGGGTGTTGTGGACTGGGTATTTTTCTCTCAGGAAGTAGGCCTGGTGGGCAGGTGGTCGGGAGACACTTGAGGCCAATGTTCTTGTTCATCAGGTGGAACTGGAACAGCACTTACACAGGAATAACCTAGTACTTGTTTATCAGGTTGCTAGCACATAACAGACTGCATTTCTTTCATGGATTCAGAGCTAGGTGGGTAAACGTACAGTCAATGTATCCTCTTGGATTGGAAAACAATAGGCATGCACTGCTTTATTGTAGAAAAAATAATTGATAGGAAGCACAGATAGCAACTGCAATTGTTAGGTTTTTATTTAGAAAACTGTCTGAGGAGATTGAAATTAATGGATTCCATTTATTGTAAAACAGTTCAGCCATTTCTTTAAGATGTTCATATAATTTTATTAGGGATATTTTACTCATCTTTAGATACTATGAATAGCTTGATAGTACAAATTATTTCAACGTTGTAAGAAAACGTTTTTTTCCTGAGAATCCTTTCTGGAATGAATACATAATAATACATTAAACTGTCAAAAAGAAAATCCACACTGAAGACAATGACAGTACAATGACTACAGTTCAGACCCCTTGACTTTTTCCACATTTTATTACATTACAGCCATATTCTTTTTATCATCAATCTACACACAATACCCCATAATGATAAAGCAAAAACAGGTTTTTGAATATGTTTTTAGAAAATCAGCCCTTTATGGTAGAGTGGCCAGACGGAAGCCACTCCTTAGTAAAAGGTATGTGACAGCCTGCTTGGGGTTTGCCATAAGGCACCTAAAGGACTCTTAGACCATGAGAAACAAGATTGAACTCTTTGGCCTGAATGCCAAGCGTCACGTATGGAGGAAACCTGGCACCATCCCTATGGTGATGCATGGTACTAGGGACTGGGAGACTAGTCAGGATCGAGGGAAAAATGAACAGAGCAAAGTACAGAAAGATCCTTGATGAAAAGCTGCTCCAGAGTGCTCAGGACCTCAGACTGGAGTGAAGGTTCACTTTCCAACAGGACAACGACCCTAAGCACACAGCCAAGACAACGCAGGAGTGTCTTTGGGACAAGTCTCTGAATGTCTTTGAGTGGCCCAGCCAGAGCCCGGACTTGAACCCGATCTAACATCTCTGGAGAGATCTGAAAATAGCTTTGCCGCAAAGCTCCCCATCCAACCTGACAGAGCTTGAGAGGATCTGCAGAGAAGAATGGGAGAAACTCCCCAAATACAGGTGTGCCAAGCTTGTAGAGTCATACCCAAGAAAACTTGAGGCTGTAATCGCTGCCAAAGGTGCTTCAACAAAGTACTGAGTAAAGGGTCTGAATACTTATGTAAATGTGATATTTCCGTTTGTCTAAAAACCTGTTTTTGATCTGTCATTATGGGGTATTGTGTGTAGATTGATGAGGGAAAAAAAAGATTTAATCCATTTTAGAATAAGGCTGTAACGTAACAAAATGTGGAAAACGTCAAGGGGTCTGAATACTTTCCAAATGCACTGTACATACACACAATCTGTATATTAGACTGGCGTGGTCAAATATATTGGTACCCTTGCCCTTTTGTGCAATGGAGCAGAATGTTCTGGTTGAATTGCTCTTTTTACCCTGTAGGCACCTGGAACTTTCCACAGGTGAGAAATTGCACAGTAAAGCAGAATTAGAACCAAATTAATTTGAATTGTGAATACTTTAGTCAAGTCCATTTTTTACTTTGAAGTGAAAAATCTAAATTTCAGCTTTTATTTTTTATTTATTATTGGTCCTGTGCTGTTGTATATCAAACAGATAGACATTATTTTTTCTTTTTCAATTTCAACTTATTTTAGAAGAAATAGTGAATCGTGCAAGTTGCCAATATATTTGACCACAACTATAGGTATGACTGCCAGGTAATAGGTTGTTGTGGCCATTTTCTTCTCTGGGTGTTGAGTTATCAGTAAATGGCCAAAGTGCAACACCATGGCTGCACTATGAAATACCGTAGCACTGAGAGTCAGGGGAGAGTTTAGAAAACGATGTTGTGGATTTAGACATTACTGTAACCAACAAGCCGAGGTCCAACAACTTCAAATAAGACTAAGTGCAGACTGTTAACACATTGTCATTTCATTTGGTGAGTTCAGGTAAAGCTTTGGATTAAAATGTTTTATCTTTCAGCTGCATCTTTGAAATAATATTTGTATTCGTTTTTTTTTTTTTAAGGAAGTCAAACATCAATGGTCTGTCCTATGGAGACGTCAACATTTGAGGACAAACACACATTTTCACCAACCAACATCATATTTTCTTAATATTTTCCAAGTTATGTCCCAAAATATTCAACCTTTCTTCATACATGGTCAGTTTGACAAATGTTGTTGTCAAATCCAATTGTAGACACACAGTTGGAATTCTCTGAATTCATAGTTGGGTGCTCTTCCTGTCATTTGACCCTCTCATCATATAATCTATTAAACAAAGTAAACTGATTCAGCCACACCCATGCTTTATGGTTGGGATGGTGTTCGGCTTGCAAGCATCCCCCTTTTTCCTCCAAACATAACGATGGTCATTATGGCCAAACAGTTATATTTTTGTTTCATCAGACCAGAGGACATTTCTCCAAAAAGTATGATCTTTGTCCCCATATGCAGTTGCAAACCGTAGTCTGGCTTTTTTAAGGCAGTTTTGGAGCAGTGGCTTCTTCCTTGCTGAGCGGCCTTTCAGGTTATGTCGATATAGGACTCGTTTTACTGTGGATATAGATACTTTTGTTCCTGTTTCCTCCAGCATCTTCACAAGGTCCTTGCGTCTCCTTCCTGAGCGGTATGATGGCTGCGTGGTCCCATGGTGTTTATACTTGCGTACTATTGTTTGTACAGATGAATGTGGTACCTTCAGGCATTTGGAAATTGCTCCCAAGAATGAACCAGACTTGTGGATGTCTACAATTGTTTTTCTGAGGTCTTGACTGATTTATTTTGAATTTCCCATGATGTCAAGCAAAGAGGCACTGAGTTTGAAGGTAGGCCTTGAAATACATCCACAGGTACACCTCCAATTGACTAAAATGATGTCAATTAGCCTATCAGAAGCTTCTAAAGCCATGACATCATTTTCTGGAATTTTCCAAGCTGTTTAAAGGCACAGTCAACTTAGTGTATGTCAACTTCTGACCCATTGTAATTGTTATACAGTGAATTATAAGTGAAATAATCTGTCTGTAAACAATTGTTGGAAAAATTACAAAGTCCTGACCGACTTGCCAAAACGATAGATTGTTAACAATAAATGTTTGGAGTGGTTGATAAACGAGTTTTAATGACTCCAACCTAAGTGTATGTAAACTTCCGACTTCAACTGTACTACATAAGGGTTCCCCAACTGTTTTTATATATAAAATACATTTGCTCCAAACACTTGGGGCGCCCCAATGTATTTCATATTATAAAAACAAAATTGTTGGACATAAAAGACTGTAACATCACCAGGAAATCAGCTCCAAGTGATTTACATTTTGGAAATCTGTTCCAAAGTATTCCCACGCATGATAGAGAAATACTGTATGTGATTGTATACAAATGTAAGCAAGGTTTGAAATGATTATGTTTTAGTTAAATATGATATATGTTTGGGCTTCTTGTGGTCAATTTGCAGTCTACAAATGATTTGTAATTATGTTTCGGCCCCCTGACCATCCGCTCAAGAAAAAGTTGTCCCGTGGTTAAATCTCGTTGATCCCTGTACTACATATTCCTTTTCCATATGGACAATGTCTTCAGAGTTCACCTGAGGTACCCTAGAGAGAGTTGAAGACTTGGGTGACCTGTCAGTCAAGCTGTGACATGGAGATACCACCACCTGCTGGTCAGTTTGAAAGCTACAGTCAAGTACATCGATGAGAATGTAATTAACATCCCCTCCACCACTCAACCACTTATCGGTTTTACGGGTCGCGTAGGAGAGAGAACAGAGAAGAGCGGGTGGAGGACAGACTTTTCCCCAAATATCTGATGTCTGATGGAGGAGTAACTCGCAGTGGAAACTGACAGTGTTCTGACATAAACATTCCCTTCCAGACAGATTTGATCATTGCTCAATGGTTGAATGATCTATTCATGCGGTAACGAATCAGCTGTTGGGGTCTTGGTTGTCCTCTTCCAGGGTCTCTGGGGTGTTGTGGACTGGGTATTTTTCTCTCAGGAAGTAGGCCTGGTGGGCAGGTGGTCGGGAGACACTTGAGGCCAATGTTCTTGTTCATCAGGTGGAACTGGAACAGCACTTACACAGGAATAACCTAGTACTTCTTGTTTATCAGGTTGCTAGCACATAACAGACTGCATTTCTTTCATGGATTCAGAGCTAGGTGGGTAAACGTACAGTCAATGTATCCTCTTGGATTGGAAAACAATAGGCATGCACTGCTTTATTGTAGAAAAAATAATTGATAGGAAGCACAGATAGCAACTGCAATTGTTAGGTTTTTATTTAGAAAACTGTCTGAGGAGATTGAAATTAATGGATTCCATTTATTGTAAAACATTTCAGCCATTTCTTTAAGATGTTCATATAATTTTATTAGGGATATTTTACTCATCTTTAGATACTATGAATAGCTTGATAGTACAAATTATTTCAACGTTGTAAGAAAACGTTTTTTCCTGAGAATCATTTCTGGAATGAATACATAATAATAAATTAAACTGTCAAAAAGAAAATCCACACTGAAGACAATGACAGTACAATGACTACAGTTCAGACCCCTTGACTTTTTCCACATTTTATTACATTACAGCCATATTCTTTTTCTCATCAATCTACACACAATACCCCATAATGATAAAGCAAAAACAGGTTTTTGAATATTTTTTTAGAAAATCAGCCCTTTATGGTAGAGTGGCCAGACGGAAGCCACTCCTTAGTAAAAGGTATGTGACAGCCTGCTTGGGGTTTGCCATTAGGCACCTAAAGGACTCTTAGACCATGAGAAACAAGATTGAACTCTTTGGCCTGAATGCCAAGCGTCACGTATGGAGGAAACCTGGCACCATCCCTATGGTGAAGCATGGTACTAGGGACTAGGAGACTAGTCAGGATCGAGGGAAAAATGAACAGAGCAAAGTACAGAAAGATCCTTGATGAAAACCTGATCCAGAGTGCTCAGGACCTCAGACTGGAGTGAAGGTTCACTTTCCAACAGGACAACGACCCTAAGCACACAGCCAAGACAACGCAGGAGTGTCTTCGGGACAAGTCTCTGAATGTCTTTGAGTGGCCCAGCCAGATCCCGGACTTGAACCCGATCTAACATCTCTGGAGAGATCTGAAAATAGCTTTGCCGCAAAGCTCCCCATCCAACCTGACAGAGCTTGAGAGGATCTGCAGAGAAGAATGGGAGAAACTCCCCAAATACAGGTGTTTCAAGCTTGTAGCGTCATACCCAAGAATACTTGAGGCTGTAATCGCTGCCAAAGGTGCTTCAGCAAAGTACTGAGTAAAGGGTCTGAATACTTATGTAAATGTGATATTTCCGTTTGTCTAAAAACCTGTTTTTGATCTGTCATTATGGGGTATTGTGTGTAGATTGATGAGGGGAAAAAAAGATTTAATCCATTTTAGAATAAGGCTGTAACGTAACAAAATGTGGAAAACGTCAAGGGGTCTGAATACTTTCCAAATGCACTGTACATACACACAATCTGTATATTAGACTGGCGTGGTCAAATATATTGGTACCCTTGCCCTTTTTTAATGGAGTGCAATGGAGCAGAATGTTCTGGTTGAATTGCTCTTTTTACCCTGTAGGCACCTGGAACTTTCCACAGGTGAGAAATTGCACAGTAAAGCAGAATTAGAACCAAATTAATTTGAATTGTGAATACTTTAGTCAAGTCAATTTTTTTACTTTGAAGTGAAAAATCTAAATTTCAGCTTTTATTTTTTATTTATTCTTGGTCCTGTGCTGTTGTAAATCAAACAGATACACATTATTTTTTCTTTTTCAATTTCAACTTATTTTAGAAGAAATAGTGAATCGTGCAAGGGTGCCAATATATTTGACCACAACTATAGGTATGACTGCCAGGTAATAGGTTGTTGTGGCCATTTTCTTCTCTGGGTGTTGAGTTATCAGTAAATGGCCAAAGTGCAACACCATGGCTGCACTATGAAATACCGTAGCACTGAGAGTCAGGGGAGAGTTTAGAAAACGAAGTTGTGGATTTAGACATTACTGTAACCAACAAGCCGAGGTCCAACAACTTCAAATAAGACTAAGTGCAGACTGTTAACACATTGTCATTTCATTTGGTGAGTTCAGGTAAAGCTTTGGATTAAAATGTTTTATCTTTCAGCTGTATCTTTGAAAGAATATTTGTATTCGTTTTTTTTTTTTTAAGGACGTCAAACATCAATGGTCTGTCCTATGGAGACGTCAACATTTGAGGACAAACACACATTTTCACCAACCAACATCATATTTTCTTAATATTTTCCAAATGATGTCCCAAAATATTCAACCTTTCTTCATACATGGTCAGTTTGACAAATGTTGTTGTCAAATCCAATCGTAGACACACAGTTGGAATTCTCTGAATTCATAGTTGGGTGCTCTTCCTGTCATTTGACCCTCTCATCATATTATCTATTAAACAAAGTAAACTGATTCTGTTATGCATAGACACCATCACATTTGGGCTAAACCAAGTCACCTCCCCCTACTCTCCCACTGTGAGCAGTGGATCCTCCCAAACAGGGTTTCTAGGTACAGAGGGTGTCTGACCCCACTTGGTTAGGTTTGGCACTTAGAGAAGTGTATGACTATGATTCAGCATTTGACGGTTTGGCACTTTGAATCACACTTTTAAAACAATTTCATCATCCCCATCTAGTCCCTTCCCTCTCACACCTCAACACGCTCCTTCACCCCCATCCCCCATCATCCCTGCACCTTTGTTGGTGTCTTAACATTTTTCCTCATCCAAAGATGCAGCCCTCCCCTCAACATTTAAAACATTTCCCAATGAGTTCATAGGTCCAAATCCCTCTTGTCTTATCTCACCCGGAGATACCCCCAAAAGGACGGCCTCAAACCAACAAAACAAAAATAAAACCTTAAAACAACCAAAGTGAGCTTTCAAAAAAATTACTCCCCACCCCCCATTAGTCTAGTCAATCTTTAAATATGGCGGTTCGTCCATCCATCCATCCATCCATTCATCCATTCATCCATCCATCCGCCCACTCCCAAGGTCCTCAGCGGTGAGCAGAGAGTCCGAGCCCACTCCCAAGGTCCTCAGCGGTGAGCAGAGATTTCGAGTCCACTCTCAAGGTCCTTAGCGGTGAGCAGAGAGTCCGAGCCCACTCCCAAGGTCCTCAGCGGTGAGCAGAGAGTCCGAGCCCACTCCCAAGGTCCTCAGCGGTAAGTAGAGTCCGAGCCCACTCCCAAGGTCCTCAGCGGTGAGCAGAGAGTCCGAAATGAACGGAAAATGTTGCCCGTAAAAACACGGGCATCAGGACCCAACCAATCGTCCTCCTGGGAATGCTGACAGACAGGGTGCATCCCCCACCCTTTTCTCACGCCACCTCCAGCCAACCAGCCGCAGGTAAAGTCCTCAGTCACCACGGCAATGGTCAGGGCTGGACCAACCAGCTGTTGGCGTCCTCCAGGTCGGTCTCCAGCTCCTCGTCTTCATCCAGGGGCTCTGGGGTTCGGAGGGACAGGTCTCTCAGGAAGGAAGCCTGATGGGCAGGGGGTCGGGAGACCGACTTGAGGCCAATCTTCTTCTTCATCAGGTGGAACTGGTCTCGGATGAAGTTGTAAAAGTCATACTCGTAGCGCATGCGGTGGTACAGCACCTGAAGGGCCTCCAGAGTGGGCGTGTGCTTACGCACCGTGCCAGTCATGTTCCCCATCTTCCTGTAGTCTGCGGAGACAGAGAAACAGACCAGGAAGTTATTAATGTATGGTTAAAATGTGAAGAAAATACATATTGTCATCCATCAATAGGAGAGTTAGGCCTATTGTAGATCACTTTTGAGGTATGAAAATACATTTCTGACAAAGTTTGTTTTTGGAGTGAACAATTCCTTTAAAGATTAATCATTTCAATGCAGTGTAACAGGCTTATACATGCCAGGGTGTGGTTGTGTGTGTACAAGTGTTTCCTCTGGAAAAATCTACCTATCTGCATTTACCCTATTGGGCTAATCATTAGTTGAGCAGCAGGTGAGCCGCAAAAAAATCAGCTGCTTGCGGGTCGGAAACATTTTAAATCAATATAATACACTTTTTTTTAACCCAGGAGCTTATTGTGTAACATTGTGTTGCAAATTCCATTCTATGAGTGGCGAGGCAGACATAACGCTACCAGCCACGCACACTTTGATTCCAGCCACGCACACTTTGAGAGTGTGTGGAGACGGGAACGGTCCCTTATTTGTGTGGTGCTAAAACGTTCTAATGTCCACACGCAGAACTTATGCTCCCTCTCCACGTGAGAATACGACACTTTGCCAAGTTTCCTTTCCCTATATAGCCTAGCTCACGCTAAAATGACTAACGTAGGCCTGGCCGGATAAATAAAAACAAAGGTTATGATAAACGTGGAAACAGGTGCTGCGCGAGTGAAATCCCCAGTTTAGAAGTACAACAACGCGTTAGATGGTTACATAGCCTGCACAAAGTGCAAGCAGGTAGGTCTATTTGCTTTAAATAATTGTTCGTTATCAGTAAATAAGTATTTTACATTAATTCAGGCTTTCTTTCATTAGACGTACGCAGGCCATATAAAGTGTAAACAGCTACGGCTGGCAAAGGTTTGAGTATCCTACTAAATAAATGTAGCCTATTTTTGCAGCCTATATTTGATTCTGGGAATTCCCTCCCTATGCAGTCATGTAAAGTACTTAAGTAAAAATACTTTAAAGTACTACTTAAGTTGTTTTTTGGGGTATCTGTACTTTAAATAAATAAAAAACAAGAAAATGGTGCCATTGGTTTGCTTAATATAAGGAATTTGAAATAATTTATACTTTTACTTTTACTTTTGATACTTAAGTATATTTTAGCAATTACATTTACTTTTGTATATTTAAAACCAAATACTTTTAGACTTTTACTCAAGTAGTATTTTACTGGGTGACTTTCACTTTTACTTGAGTCATTTTCTATTAAGGTATCTTTACTTTTACTCAAGTATGACAATTGCGTACTTTTTCCACCACTGTCCCTATGGCACTGTTAACTTGAATGCGCCTTGAGAGGAATATTTATCTCACATAGAACACACAACAACAAGCCTACTAGATAAATAGATCAACTATTTTACTATGGGGTTGGCAGATTTTTCTATTCATTACACATTTTGTTGCAGAGGAAAAGTACATGTGGTCTATTCCAGCATCTTTAAAGTGGGCCTCGGCCGAAATATATTTTCATGTTCCATATTTTTTTTGCCGTGGCGGTAATGATTTTACCATGGCAGTGCCACAGTTAAATAACTTCTGTGGAAACTCTGGTGTGTAGGCCTACCTGGGCTCTTGTAGATGTTCAGTACGTCAGTAAAGTAGTGCGGTAACAGTCTCTCTAGAAGAAGCAGCACATCTTCCAGCTCCTCTAGGATCCCCACAATAAGGAAGTTCTCTAGAACGTTCTGTTTGGCCCTCTCCAGAGCCCATACTCCCGGCTCCCTGAAACACACAGAACAACAGGCACAGTCAGAGGAAAATATCTAGCAACCCAGAGGGAATTATAACCAATGATTAATTGTAATACCACTCATACTTTAAAAAAACATTCGCAAAAATATTAATACCAGTCAGGATAATGTTACCAAATTTGGAGCCTGATTCCCTGCAATACAGGTCTTATTACCTGCACTGGGGGTGCTGTCCACAGAAATATGGGATGATGTAGAAGAGTCTGGGGTTGGAGCATTCTGGGTAATTCTCCAGGATGCACACATTGATGTCCTGGACAGGAGGGAGACCGAAGAGACAGCCCATCAGAAACACACTCAGAAAGACAGACAATCGCCTTCAGGTTGCACAGGAGGTTGGTGGCACCTTAATATGGGAGGATGGGCTCGTGGTAATGGCTGGAGCGGAATCGGTGGAATGGTATCAAATACATCAAACACATGGTTTGATGCTATTCCATTCCCGCCGTTCCAGCCATTATTATGAGCTGTCCTCCCCTCAGCAGCCTCCAATGTGACAGGTTGACGCCTACTTTTCTGAAAGAATAATGGGATTGAATGAAAACATTAGTGTAATTCTACATTACTCTCACTAGGTGGAACTCTTCACCAAGTCTTCTCCTCTCTTAGGAACTCGTACTACTTTTTGATGGTTAGCGTTGGTAAACAGATTATGGTGGACAATAATCATTGACATTACTAAATAATTATGGTGGACAATATTATGCATTGTAAACAGTAACATTTTGAAAACAAGCTGCATTATGACTATAAAATAACTTTTTGTTTGAACCATATTTTATATTTTATTTCAACTAATCAAAAATTAACTCAAAATAATAATTAAGATGCACTCCAGAAACTTCCATTGGCACTATTCAATCTGTAAATCATGTTATGTCATTATTAACTCAAATTAATTGATGTGAAAGTTTAATTGTATTTATTTGAACTATTTATGATTTTAAAAGACACTATCTTCAAGCCACTCTCCGACAGCCTAAATAAGACATGCAGATTCCTATAAGCAGATATTAGCTCATCTGTTTCCTACTCAGTGGAATATGTAGGATATCTCAAGAGCAACATGTAGTGAGAGGTCAATGGTATTATTTTCTGTCCAGAATGATGACAGTTAACTGTCTCGTAATGCAGACCAATACACAGAAACAAGGTTAACCTTTGGTCTCCTCAGCTACCCACATGATGTTGGCAATGCAACCAACATCCCAATCCAATCCCACCATCCCAATCCCACCATCTTCTCTCCCTCCTGACCCACTTCCTCAGTAAAAAAAGAAAAGAAAGTGTCCTAAGGCAGGAGCCACTGGAGCAGAGCAGTGAAACACTAAACCACCTCTCTGTTTAACCAGTGGGCTGAACGAAGGATGCCCACTGAGACTAATTTAAAAAAGAAAGAGAGATTAAAAACACATAAAGGAGTGAAGTCAGCCAGTCTTTTCGCTCTCTCTCTGCTACAAACCCAAGAGTCAAATCCATGTCAGGTCAGGTGACGTAAGCTTTATAGACAGCAACGAGGCCTGGGCAACACAACACTCAAAAACACATGAAAGATACACACTCACACCCATTCACACACACAAGCACGCATGCAAGCTCACACACACACACACACACACACACACACACACACACACACACACACACACACCACACACACACACACACACACACACACACACACACACACACACACACACACACACACACACACAGTCTTGTACAGCTAACCTTGTGGGGACACACAATTCAGTCCCATTCAAAACCCTAACCCTAACCCTAACCCTAACCTTAACCCTAACCCTAACCTTAACCCAAAAACCTAAGCTTAACCCTAACCCTAGCTCCTAACCCTAACCCTTAACGTAATTCTAACCCTAATTCTAACCTTAACCCTAAACCCCTTAGAAATAGCATTGACCTCGTGGGGACTAACAAAATGTCCCCAGTTGGTCAAATGTTTGTTCGTTTGCTATTCTTGTGGGGACTTCTGGTCCCCACAACAATAGTTAAACACACGCACGCACGCACACACACTCACACACACACACACACACACACACACACACACACACACACACACAAACACACACACACACACACACACACACACACACACACACACACACACACACACACACACACACACACACACACACACACACACACACACACACACACACACACACACACACACACACACATAACACGCACACATCAAAACCCAGACCCATTCCTCTGAGTTGAAACAGGCACCAGCCTATAAGGTGAAGAGGGTGCTGACAACAATAAAAAGAGCAGGAGGTCTTGTGTGCTGTTGGTTTATTTCACTGTGGCCTACATGCTGATAGGTGAGAATGTCCTCAGTTTTACTTGGAAAAGGACAATTTGTCAAGTTAACAGCTGGAGCCTGGACGCCTCACCACAGAGGGTAGACTTTTCCTGCAGTCAATGACCAAAAGCACCCTTTTTGGCCTCATGGGTGGACTATTCATAAAAAACATTATTGAAAGAAACCCACCAAAGATCCGGTGTTTCTATGTCAAACAGTTTTGTTATATTTCAGTCTTCTGTGATGTACATAAAGTGTAATATTGGGATGCAGACTCAAAATTGAATACAACTCTATATCTGACATGGTACAGGTGTCTTCTTCTTTTTAAGCCCATAACCATCTGTGTGAGGTGTATACTTCTGTTTCAAAGTAGATTTGTTTAAGACTACCAAGAATCACTTTGTGTGACCCTATATCCCACTGCAGGAAAAGGTTAGCTAAGCCAGAGAGACCCAGAGAGAGAACCAGAGGCCCAGGCCTTGTGTTTCTCAGGGCACCAGAAGGCTAGCCCGGGTCTGGGGTGAGAGGAGAAGGGCTAGGGGTAAGAGCTAGGAACCAGGTGAATGGATTTGAAAGGACCCCACACTGAGAAGCACATAAATACTACACACACACACAATTTAGCAAAATACTGTACATTCTCCCATCAATTAGAACTATAACTGTTTTTGGAATAATGTCTTACTCCATCCAGGGAAGCAGGAATGAGAGAGAGTGTGTAGTGGGAGTAGGACAGTATATGTTCCCATTCTGGAACCACTAAGCCAGATCCTTGCAGTCCTTGTTTTCACACTTATCAACAAATTCGGAGCTGTGACTCACAAGACATTTGACTTCACTGTGATCCTCCCCCCTTATACACATAAAACATGACTTACTGTACCCACAAAAACAGAGAAAGAGGGAGAGGGAATGGGAGAGGGAGTGGTAGGATGGGGCGTGTGTGTGTGTGTGTGTGTGGTGTGTGAATTATTATGATATCACTAAGGCTGCAGGAAGTGTTGGGTTGCATTTCACATACCCACTATTAAAGACTACAGTCTCTCACCCGGCTCTGGGCCTGTCTGGGGTTCTGTGGTGTTAATGATACTGGGACACCTGGCGTACAGTCAGGTCACAGCGCAAGACACAGACCTGGCAGGAAGCATGTAAAGGAGACATGTCATAAACATGACATATTAGCTTCATAAACATTCATAAGCTTTGAGTGGGCCCCTGTACCCACATAGGGACAGACTGGGGCCACGCCACGATGATGTAGCACTAAAGAAAGCCTTATGAAACCTGGATGCACTGGGGCTTTGATAACAGACTACCATTTCCCCTCATACTTGCTCTTCTTCTCTACCCCTCAATTTCTCAAACGCTCTATTCCTCCCACCAAAAAACATCATGAATTTCATCTTAAACCCACGAACCCTGCGGGCAACACAATATGAGAGAAAAGGACACCTGTCAGTTCCTGTCTTTGTAGATGATAGGTTTAGAGAGGAGGATGTAATCCTTTCAGTCAGTGAGTGCCTTTTCGACTGTCTCTCAGATACGCTGCTCTGCATTTGGACTGGGTACATGCATGTTGACTGACAACAGGGAGCAGAACAACTGGAAGAGGCTTCAAAGGAACCACAAGAATCCAAGAGAACCCAGAACACTGGTAGACCACGCAGGCATTGTGTTACAGTCAATAGAGACTCTATGGCTAAAATGTAATTGTAGGAGCAAATCAGTGTCTTCTCTCTGCATCTCTCTCTCTCTCTCTCCGAGCTCTCTCCTCTCTCTTCTTTTCCATATTTTCGCGTCCTCTCTCCCTCCCACTTTGGGCAGCCGATAAAGGGAGTTGAGATGTGATCGTTCACCTCTCGCTCTCTCTATGTCCTCGATTCTCTTTTATTCTATCGCCTCTACTGTCTGGTCTCTCTCTCTCCTTCTCTCCTCTTGCCCCCTCTTTTGCATTCATTTGGAGGATAAAGGGATGGATGTGATCTGTTCACTCTCTGACTCTGCTCTTTCTAATGGCCTCTGAAAACGGCATTGGCAGCAGACGAATATTGAAGAATGTCTGTATCCCGATTCTTAAAACCCTTCTGGGCCTCTTCTCCTTCTCTCCATGATCACAGACTGTGGACAAGAAGCCAAAAAGCCGGGAGAGGTGAAGGCATTGGGAGAGAGAGAAGGGACAGGAAATGATACGCATGACTCTGGCCGGTCCCCCCACACACAGGGAGCCGTGCCAGGAAGTCCCTCCTCAGTACGACACTCGATATGGGCGCCTGCTCCGCTCGCAACTTTAGGGGACCTATGGGAATCTATTAACAACTACACACACCCACACGCACGCACGCACGCACGCACCCACACGCGCGCGCACACACACACATACACACACACACACAGGGTGGAGAATACATATTTTGGCCTCCCTGCTATGTTGCATGGGGGGAAAAAATAACATTAGTATTGGGAAGGCAACTCAACGGGTACACACACACACACTCATTGTTCCTATTCTTACTGAGGATTATGCAGGTTGAATGGTGTTGTTGTTAGTGTAGCACCCACTACTACTGTATCCTAACTGGTCCTAAGCTCTCAACTGGTTACTGTGGGAGAAAGTCCAACACTGCTTGTTTTGGCCAAAACACATTTCTAGTCACCAAAAATGTGTCATGTGAGGAAGGCAGATGAAGATAAAGGTTGACAGCTAATCATCCACTGTTTCTCTTTTACTATCTGATGTGTAGACAAGGCATGCCTTGGCAAGAACAACGCTGGGTGCCCGCCAGGACATCTTCTCTGAAGTGTGTGTGTGTGTGCTTTGTCATCAGAGTAAACCAGGTAAAGGGTCAGAGAGGGTGAGTATAGAGTTGTTGGCAGTCTAGGCGTGCTCTGGCACTGTGTCTGTGTGTCTGAGGCTGAGCTGCTCTGATCAGTTAGACTGACCTGGTCAAAAGACAACACCTCTTTCAGTCTACTACACTGGTCACTCTTACAGCTACAGTACACATTTGATTCGTAGCCAAATAACTCATGACAAAAGCATGAGTTTGTGTGCCTGTTCACATGACTGCGGTCTGCCGAACGCATTACAGGGGGCAAACTACCCGCCCTCCAAGACACATACAGCACCCGATGTCACAGGAAGGCCAAAAAGATGATCAAGGACATCAACCACCCGAGCCACTGCCTGTTCACCCCGCTATCATCCAGAAGGCGAGGTCAGTACAGGTGCATCAAAGCTGGGACCGAGCGAATGAACAACAGCTTCTATCTCAAGGCCATCAGTCTGTTAAATAGCCATCACTAGCACACTAGAGGCTGCTGCTGCCTATTGAAATCACTGGCCACTTTAAGAAATTGAACACTATTCACTTTAATAATGTTTACATATCTTGCACTACTCATCTCATATGTATATACTCTATTCTATTCTATAATATTCTACTGTATCTTAGTCCATGCCGCTCTGTCATTGCTTGTCCATATATGTATATATTCTTAAATCCCATTCCTTACTAGTTTTGTGTGTATTGGGTATATGTTGTGAAATTCTTAGATATGACTTGTTAGATATTACTGCACTGTCGGAGCTAGAAGCACAAGCATTTCGCTACACCCGCTATAACATCTGCTAAACACGTGTATGTGACAAATAACATTTGATTTGATTTGATTTGATGCGTGTGTGTGTGTTAGTGAGTAAAGAGGGAGTGGGGCTGATGGGAAATGTAAGAAGTCTACCACAGGAATGTCTCAATAACTCATGCATTAGGGCCGAGACATGGGTGAGGAAACTGACAGTGTTCTTTCATTGACACCTCCTGTACACACAGAACAGGACACAGAACAGGACACAGAACAGGACAGGACACAGAACAGAACACAGAACAGGACACAGAGCAGGACACAGAGCAGGACACAGAACAGGACACAGAACAGGACACAGAGCAGGACACAGAACAGGACACAGAGCAGGACACAGAACAGAACACAGAACAGAACACAGCGCAGGACACAGAGCAGGACACAGAGCAGGACACAGAGCAGGACACAGAGCAGGACACAAAACAGGACACAGAGCAGGACACAAAACAGGACACAGAGCAGGACACAGAGCAGGACACAGAGCAGGACACAGAGCAGGACACAGAACAGAACACAAAACAGGACACAGAGCAGGACACAGAACAGGACACAGAACAGGACACAGAGCAGGACACAGAACAGAATACATAACAGGACACAGAGCAGGACACAGAACACAGAACAGGACACAGAACAGGACACAGAACAGGACACAAAACAGGACACAGAGCAGGACACAGAGACACTCTCAGGTGAGCCAGTGGCAGCTCCCCTTTACTGTAGGAGGGGGCCCTCTTGCGCTGCATACTTTAATAACTCAAGTCACATGCTACGGTACTCTTGGGACCCTGAGCAGAACTTAATTACCCAGTCAGACTCAGACTCACTCCAGCCACAATTACATTCACTTCACTATGTGTGTTTGCTAATGTGGCTGGCTCAATGTGTGTTATGGTTATTGTGAGGGCCTCTAACAACACACTGGTGTGTGTGTGTATGTGTGTTCTATACTTTTTAATTATGTAACACAGTTGGTATGTAACTAACTCGGGATGTGTGTGTGTTTGTGTATGTATGTGTGTGCACGTGTGTGTGTGTGTCAACCAGCAAACATGCCTAATTGGAGGAGCACTAAGAGGAATTCCTATTGCTGCCTCCATCTCTCCACAGATTACACCAATCAAGCGCACCACTAACAAAACTGTATGATTTACCTTTTGAACCTTACTTAAATGGGACCTCCACTCAATAAAACACACACAAATCACATAGAAATTATAGTTTGAAAATAAAACGAAAGCAGTAAATGCCATTAGAAAAGCGTGAGACGTCCAATATCACCACAGACTATTGAGTTCCATACTGCAGGGTTAAACAATACAAACATACAGACATACAGACGGACAGACAGATAGCTCTGGTCTCTAACTAACCGTCAGATTTGGTCTAACTCAGTCAAGTCTGTAATTGAGTTGTAGGTAGTTCGAGGTTGAGAGGGATGGAGGAATGGGAGGACAACAGCCCTCAACGGGCAAACGATTCGTTACCCTTCCTTTCCATGCCACACCACGTATCCTGTATCTTCAAGGAGTAGACCTATGGCTTTATTGTAGAACTATTATCAGGAACTCTTTCAGGGCTTCATACATTCAATACCATAAGGCTGTAACTAATACAGTATTATTATTATTATTATTATTATTATTATTATTATTATTATTATTATTATTACAGTATATGCTTAGCCTCACCTGATTATCTTTCTCAAATATGTCATTATGGTAAGAAGAAAAACAGTTTCATGTTCCAACATCTAAATCAGTTGAACCTAAGGTACTCATGCAGAGTCAAAAACATTCAAAAACATATATAATCCATCTAATCTAAAACCTTCCAATTAAGACTGAGCTGTTTATCAATTTCCTTTTGTAGAATGTTCGAGAACGAGACATCTCGTATACTTTTTCCATCTATTCTAATTAGTTCTACAATAACATGTGCATTATTGCCAGAGAATAATGGAAGCATTACACAGCCTGCCTGACCATGAATCAGGTGGAGACATGGAAGGACTGTGTGTAATCTAATAACTCAGTCATACAGTCAGTTACTGTTGAGGTCAGAATGATGCTCATACTACAGTAATGTCCTGGACCATTAGCATTCAAACCAATACACTGATGCTACTTATGGAAAGAAGAAGAGATGAGCAAAGGCCTAGACTGTTGGCCAAGATATGAAAGATGGAAAAAGAGAGGGAAAGAGATGGATAGAGTTCCACAATAAAGGAGGAGTCTCACCAGGTATCTCTCGTCACCCTTCATCCCAGGTGTTCGGATGAGGTGATTCTGCTCCCCCCTCCAGTCCCCGAAACGTCGGAAGAAGTAGTTGGAGAGGAAACGGTTAATGGGGTCCCGTATGATGTTGATGTAGACTGGCTGCTCTATCCTGAACCTGACAGACAGAGGGACAGATGGATGGACGCACATTTATACAGTGTACATAGTACAGCTCTCCACAGTGGGGCAGTATTGGGGCCTAGTTGATAAGGACATGGGCAGCTGACTTACACTAAGTGTACAAAACATTAGGAACAGGAACACCTTCCTAATATTCATTGCACCCCCTTTTGCCCTGAGAACAACCAATTCGTCGGGGCATGGGCAAGGTGTCGATAGCGTTCCACAGGGATGCTGGCCCATGTTGACTCCAATGCTTCCCACAGTGGTGTCAAGTTGGCTGGATGTCCTTTGGGTGGTAGACCATTCTTGATACACACGGAAAACTGTTGAGCCTGAAAAACCCAACAGTGTTGCAGTTCTTGACACACTCAAACCGGTGCACCTGGCACCTACTACCATACCCTGTTCAAAGGCACTTCAATCTTTTGTCTTGCCCATTCACCCTCTGAATGGCACACATACACAATCCATATCTCAATTGTCTCAAGGCTTAAAAACCCTTCTTTAACCTGTCTCCTCCCCTTCATCTACACCAGGGTTCCCCAACTAGCGGCCCGCGGGTGATTTTATTTGGCCCCCCAAGTTTGGGCTTCTTGCGGTCAATTTGCAGTCTACAAATTATTTGTAATTATGTTCCGGCTCCCTGACCATCCACAAACAAAAATGAGTCTAGTTGATGATCCCTGATCTACACTGATTGAAGTAGATTCAACAGGTGACATCAATAAGAGATCATGCTTTCACCTGGATTCATCTGGTCAGTCTATGTCATGCAAAGAGCAGGTGTTCCTGATGTTTTGTACACTCAGTGTATATTGCCATTGTTGGTAAAGACATTAAATGAAATTTCCTCTCTTGTTATCAATGTCAAGACTTTTCTGAAAATGCAAACTATAGGAGCGGTTTTGATTAAAAACGTTGTCCAGTCATAGCTAGAACAGTAAAACTCCACTGTTTCAGGTGGTTCTGTGTGCCATTGAGATCTTAGCATCATAGATGGATGGATGGTGCCAGTTGTCATACGTGGTGTGCTCTGCTGTAGTTACCGGGTGAAGTTGAGAAAGTGGACATGTCTGGTGTACAGGAAAGGCTGGGGGATGTTGCTGATGTTCCTCATAAGGTCCACCTGAAAGACACACATCAAGAGAAATGACTGTACTAGTCTATACTTGTATCAAATACAGTATATCTCTCCAGGATGGAACCAGAACCAAACATAAAGTTCATTTAGACCCATTTTTACAAAACCCTTGTGTGCTTTACTAGGCGATGATTGAATATCTGTAATTAATTACAAATTAATTTAACATGTTCTGGCTTCAGCAAAGAAATCGATTAGGAGGTTGTGGAGACCTCCATCTCACTGTGCCAGAGCCTGACAACATCATCATGTTGGAGACCCCCTGTCCACTGTGCCAGAACCTCACGTCATACAGGCTGGAACGAGAACCCCGAGCCCCTTATCTCCCATTATAACATTAATGAGAGCAGCTAAACCACACCACATGTTATGTTATCCTTCTGTGGGTCTGCCTGTTGATAAAGCCCATCTGTATATCTGGATCTAGTGTGCTGGTGATAGCCATGACTTTCTGAAAACACACTGAGAGGAAAAAAACATCTACCCAAAACACTGTCCTCAGGTTTCATTCTGTGAAACGACTAGCAGAGAAAATCAATTGGAACAATGAAATGTTCGCAATGTGTATTGTTCATAACCATATGTAAAATATGATAATTCACAGTTTTGTGTTCCATATCATCCCAGCCTAGGTGGGTGTTCTCCACCCCTGTGGTTCCCTAGGCCTGCATGGAGAGACAGGTCCAGACCTGTACCCCAGGTGAGCTCCATGGTGGGGGTCACACCTGGCCCTGAACCCTGGGGGTGGAGATGGGACAGGTGGGACAGGGAAACGATGGAGGGCTGACCCTGCCATAACCTTGGCTGAGCTCACCAGCATTACTCAAATGGACAAATAAACTGAAGGAAAAAGGTGGGGCCTTGATATCGATTGCGACTTGTTATATAGTCATTTGTTATCTAGTGTGATAGCATTATGGTTCATATGCCTACAGTACAACCAACAATTATACATATTTTGTGACATCTAGTCCCGTGTAGCTCAGTTGGTAGAGCATGGCGCTTGCAACGCCAGGGTTGTGGGTTTGATTCCCACGGGGGACCAGTATGAAAATGTATGCACTCACTAACTGTAAGTCTCTCTCTCTCCCCCCTCTCTCTCTCTCACACTCTCCCTCCATACAGAAAAAGCTAAATTCTGCTAAGACTTCCAGACCAATTAGCCCAAAGTTTATACTCCCCACCACACCCCATCCCCTCTCCCTGCACCCTAAACACGTTTGGGTTGATTTAACGGGAAAAGGGAAGGCCAAACACACACACACATAACCCCCCTCTCATTCAGGAAGGGAGGAGAGTAGAGGAAGAAGGGAAAGATGGGGGAGAGGGAGAAAGACTGAAAGACGAGGATAGTCTGGGATTCCAGGAATATTTGCTGCCCCCCTCCCTCTCTTCCTGATTGAACGCTGTACCTTAAAGGCTTCCTGGTTGGGCTCATCACATCACTGGGGTTGGGCTAGTGTAAACAGACTAAACTTCTCTGCTACTGCATATGTCCCTCAACACCCCACCCCCCTCACCTCTCCCTTCAATCTCTCCACCTCTCCCTTCAAACTCTCTCCACCTCACCCCTCCACACTCCCCTCACCTCTCCCTTCAAACTTTCTCCCCCTCACCCCTCCACACTCCCCTCTGTCTTCAAACTCTCTCCACCTCACCCCTCCACACCCCCCTCACCTCTCCCTTCAAACTCTCTCCACCTGAGCGCTCCTCACCACCCACTGTCTTCAAACTCTCTCCACTTCACCCCTCCACACCCCGATATGTCTTCAAACTCGCTCCACCTCACCTCGCCACACACAACCTTCCCTTCAAACTCTCTTCACATCACCTCTCCACACCCCCTTTCCCTTCAAACTCTTTCCACCTCACCCCTCCACACCCCCTAAGGTTACGGTTAGGGTTCAGTTTAGAAAAAGGGTTAGGGTAAGGTTAGGGTTAAGGTTAAGTTTAGGGTTAGGATAAGGGTTAAGGTTAGGGTTAGAGCTTGGGTTAGTATATAGTTAGTTGAAATGTTAGTTGAAATGTTACTCCCACCACTTACCCCTGCTCACCATATCTCTCCCATCCACCCCACCCCTGAACCAGAAGAGGCTGGTGGGAGAAGCTATAGGATGACGGGAATCAATGGAATGGAGTCAAACACGTTGTGTTTGGTACCATTTCATTTATTCTACTCCAGCCATTCCAATGAGCATGTTCTCCTTTGGCTTATCCTCTGCTCTGAATCCAAAAAATTGATTGGAGGGGATTTGTCAGACTTGTTGTAGGAAGACATCTAATCCCAACATTATGTTTACAGTAGGTTTAAAACAAGGCTCAATAACTCTCTTTGAAAGAGAGGTCATCGTTACTTTCAAGGTAGTGTAAACCAATCAAATCTATTTAAAGTCTGCTACTCCAAGCCAGGGCCGGACCATTTCAATGTTTGCATATCCGTGGTAGCTAGTATACAGGAACATGGGGTCCATGGCAGAGCTGTGTCTGTTTGCTGTGTAACATCTTTGGTGAGAGAGAGAACAGAGCATCACACAGCAACACAGAGAAACTCACAGAAAAGCTGTGTTGCTATTTCTGACCATGCTAAAATAAAGCCATCTCTCCCTCAGCTCCTGTAGGCCTGCTATAGAGAGAGACAGACAGATCACTATACAATGTGGGTACATAGGGCTCCACAGGGCTCCAGAGGGTAGGGGACCTTAACCTGTTTGGCTACCCAGGCTGGGACTATCGGTTCTGAGCAAATGCATTAGCAGGCCACTGGCTGAGCCAAAGGATAATGGTCCAACACTCCTGTCCCCAACCAGACTGGAGCTAAGGAGACCAGCATCTCTAAACTTAGACAGCATGCATCTGGATCTGCATAAGTCAACACACACATATATGCACACCCACACACAGCTACTCTGAGAGGACGAGTTAGTGGACCGTTGACAGAGGTGTTTTATGTCTCTCTCTCTCTCTCTCTCTTAATGATTCTAGCGGTGTTCTGACGCTGTGTAAAGCCAAGCGTTCAGGCTTGAGGAATGTTTAAACTACCTGTTTCAATATTGGCTTTAATTAAATATTTACTTCAAATCTAATGTGTCTGTCACGATCGTTAGAGTGAGTGGACCAAGGCGCAGCGTGATGAACGAACATACTTCTTTTATTTAATGAATGCACGAGCAACAAAACAACAAACGATAACGTGACGTCCTATGTTAAACACAACAAACACGGAACACACCAAAAGGAACAAGATCCCACAAACACTAAGGGAAAACAGACTGTTTAAATATGGCTCCCAATCAGAGACAACCAGCAACAGCTGACACTCGTTGCCTCTGATTGGGAACCACTCTGGCCAACATAGAAATACCAGAACTAGACTGTGAACATAGAACAAAACACATAGAAACTACACACCCTGGCTCAACATATAGAGTCCCCATAGCCAGGGTGTGACAGTGTCAGTAATGGTTATGAATATTTAGCATCTACTTACCATTAAAACATTCAAAATTGGTAGAAATACCTTCTTTTTTTTTTCTTCTTTTTTTATATTTCTACAGCATACATTGACACTGATGGAAAAGCCCTATAAGGATATGAAACATTACCACATAGGCTATGGCACAGAAATACACCATCATTCTCTTGCTCTCTGAAGATTCTGAGAAAGAGTCTGCTTAAGTTGCTGTTAGTCGGCGGGAAGTGTAATTTATAGGGCATATGAGGGCATATTTTATTGGTCTGGCACTGATGGAGGATGCCTGAGAGGGGTCCTACCACAAGACAGGTGTGCCTAGTTAACTTCAGTCAGTACAGTCAGCTTTCTAATTAACATTTTCCCCAAATACCACTATAATAAAGGAAGATGAAGAGAGAGAGAGAGACAGAGAGAGAAAGACAGAGAGAGAGAGAGAGGGAGAGAGAGAGAGAGAGAGAGAGAGAGAGAGAGAGAGAGAGAGAGAGAGAGAGAGAGAGAGAGAAATACAAATTTTATCTTTTAGAATGACTACCGTTCAGTAATGTTTTCATTTGTGTTGGCCTTTCCCATGACACAGCCTTGCATTTCAACATGTCTCTGAGGGATGTGGTTTTAAACGCACGCAGCCCTTCCTCTATAAATGCTGTGTTGATGTCCTTAAGATGCTCTCGGAAATCATAAAAATACATTTCCCATCCCTTCAGCCTGTTCTTAGAAAGACTGAAGGACAATACAGTAGCTTGCTAAGTTAAGTGGTAGCATTAGGACGTCACTCAATAGAGGCAAAAAGGTATTGTGGCTCCTTTCTCCAGGGACCGCCCTACCACTTCCTACATTTCAACATATTTTGCCATGGTGCAGAGAGAAAAATTTGCTATTTTATAATGCTATTCTAAATATTTTGTCATGAGGCTAAGAGAAAATGTTGACATTTTAAAGCTAATTTCTTGCAATTCTACACTTTTTGCCATGGGGCAAGGGATTTTTTTTTTTATAGCTCATCTCATGCTTTTGTCCATATTTTGCAATGAGTCTGAGATAAAATGTTGCAGTTTTAAAGCTAATTTCCTGCAATTACACACATTTTGCAATCATATGCTATCAGAGGAAGTCCAAGATGGCGTAGTAGTGCAGTTCTGTTTTTGTCGTGTGTCTGTAAATAGCCTGTAAATACCCTGTTTTTTTGTATTTTTCGTACATATTTCCCTATCAGACTTTTCATCCTTCTACAAAATATACTTTCTGCAACCCGCCTCACTCAATGTGGAACGGATTCTATTATTGACTTACCTTTTATCTAGAATCTCCAGTTGAAACTAGCTAGCCAGCTAACTAGCTACTTGCTATTAGCCACAGTTAGCGGTATTTCACCCAGAACATTGGATTTTTTTTCTGCGGGATTAATTGAATCACTGGACATTAATCACCGGATATTCGGCCAGTCTGCACAGCGCGTTATCGACCCAGAACATATAAGTTTTTCTGCCGGAATCACTGAATCACTGGACCTTTAACTCCGGATTCATCGCTACCAGCTAGCTGCAACAAAATGGACGCTGTGGTCTGGCTAATCATCCTGAGCTAGGCCCATCTCCCGGCTATCTACCTCTCTGTCAACCGGACGGGACCACCTAGTGTTGACACGGAGCCCCGCCGATCCTACACGACTGGTCTGCCGACGAAATCGTCTGATGTGGTTACGACGTCGACCACGAAGATTCCATCTGCTAGCCCCGGCCCGCTAGCACACGCTAGCTGTGGCCTCTTACTCGCTAGTGCTTTAGCAGCCTCCGAACTACCCTATTGCTGTTCACCGGACCTTATGATAACTCAGCTATACAGCTGATGTCTGCTGGACTGTTCCTTTTTACGGTACTACATCCTGTTTATGTTTAGCCTCAGCCCAAACATGGTTAGCTTATTGTTGTTTCGGTTATTTCTAATTGTACTATTTCACTGTAGATCCCCCAGCCCAGCTAAACCTGCCTTAGATAGCTCCTTTGTCCCACCCCCCATACACGCGGAGACCGACTCAATTGATGCCTCCAGTGATGCTATCTCTTTCATTGTTACCCAACGCTTAGGTTTACCTCCACTTTACTCATATCCTTCCATATCCTTGTCTGTACATAATGCCCTGAATCTTTTCTACAACACCCGGAAATCTGCCCCCTTTATTCTATGTACCCAACGCACTAGAAGACCAGTTCTTAAAGCCTTTAGCCGTATCCTTATTCTAGTCCTCCTCTGTTCCTCTGGTGATGTAGAGGCTAACCCAGGCCCTGCAGCCCTCAGTATCACTCCTACTCCCCAGGCGCTATCATTTGCTGACTTCTGTAATCGCAAAAGTCTTGGTTTCTTGCACGTAAATATCAGAAGTCTACTTCCTAAGTTTGAGTTATTCACTGCGTTAGCACACTCCGCCAACCCTGATGTTCTAGAAGTGTCTGAATCCTGGCTCAGGAAGGCCACCAAAAATTCTGAAATTTCCATCCCCAACTATAACATTTTCCGTCTAGATAGAACTGCCAAAGGGGGTGGAGTTGCAATCTACTGTAGAGATAGCCTGCAGAGCTCTATCATACTATCCAGGTCTGTGCCCAAACAGTTTGAGCTTCTACTTCTAAAAATCCACCTTTCCAGAAATAAGTCTCTCACTGTTGCCGCTTGCTACAGACCCCCCTCAGCCCCCAGCTGTGCCCTGGACACCATATGTGAATTGATTGCCCCCCATTTATCCTCAGAGTTCGTACTGCTTGGTGACCTAAATTGGGATATGCTTAATACCCCGGCCATCCTACAATCCAAACTAGATGCCCTCAACCTCACGCAAATTATCAACGAACCTACCAGGTACATCCCTAAATCCGTAAACATGGGTACCCTCATAGATATCATCCTGACTAACATACCCTCTAAATACACCTCAGCTGTCTTCAACCAGGATCTCAGCGATCACTGCCTTATTGCCTGCGTCCGTAACGGGTCCGCGGTCAAACGACCACCCCTCATCACTGTCAAACGCTCCCTAAAACACTTTAGCGAGCAGGCCTTCCTAATTGACCTGGCCCAGGTATCCTGGATGGATATAGATCTCATTCCGTCAGTAGAGGATGCCTGGTTGTTCCTTAAAAGTAATTTCCTCTCAATCTTAAATAAACATGCCCCATTCAAAAAATACAGAACTAAGAACCGATATAGCCCCTGGTTCTCCTCAGACTTGACTGCCCTTGACCAGCACAAAAACATCCTGTGGCGTACTGCATTAGCATCAAATAGCCCCCGCGATATGCAACTTTTCAGGGAAGTTAGGAACCAATATACACAAGCAGTCAGGAAAGCAAAGGCTAACTTTTTCAAACAGAAATTTGCATCCTGTAGCACTAACTCCAAAAAGTTTTGGGACACTGTAAAGTCCATGGAGAAAAGAGCACTTCCTCCCAGTTGTCCACTGCACTGAGGCTAGGAAACACTATCACCACCGATAAATCTACAATAATCGAGAATTTCAACAAGCATTTTGCTACAGCTGGCCATGCTTTCCATCTGGCTACCACTACCCCGGCCACCAACTCTGCACCCTCTGCTGCAACTTGCCCATGCCCCCCCCCCCCCGCTTCTCCTTCACACAAATTCAGACAGCTGATGTTTTGAAAGCGCTGCAAAATCTGGACCCCTACAAATCAGCTGGGCTAGACCCTTTCTTTCTAAAACTAGCCGCCGAAATTGTCGCAACCCCTATTACTAGTCTGTTCAACCTCTCTTTCATAACGTCTGAGATCCCCAGAGATTGGAAAGCTGCCGCGGTCATCCCCCTCTTCAAAGGGGGTGACACTCTAGATCCAAACTGCTACAGACCTATATCCATCCTGCCCTGCCTTTCGAAAGTATTTGAAAGCCAAGTTAACAAACAGATCACCGACCATTTCGAATACCACCGTACCTTCTCCGCTATGCAATCCGGTTTCCGAGCTGGTCATGGGTGCACTTCAGCCACGCTCAAGGTCCTAAACGATATTATAACCACGATTGATAATAGACAGTACTGTGCAGCCGTCTTCATCGACCTGGCCAAGGCTTTCGACTCTGTCAACCACCGCATTCTTATTGGCAGACTAAATAGCCTTGGTTTCTCAAATGACTGCCTCGCCTGGTTCACCAACTACTTCTCAGATAGAGTTCAGTGTGTCAAATCGGAGGGCCTTTTGTCTGGACCTATGGCAGTCTCTATGGGGGTGCCACAGGGTTCAATTCTTGGGCCGACACTTTTCTCTGTGTATATCAATGATGTCGCTCTTGCTGCTGGTGACTCTCAGATACACCTCTACGCAGACGACACCATTTTGTATACATCTGGCCCTTCATTGGACACTGTGTTAACAAACCTCCAAACGAGCTTCAATGCCATACAACACTCCTTCAGTAGCCTCCAACTGCTCTTAAACACTAGTAAAACTAAATGCATGCTTTTCAATCGAACGCTGCTGGCACCCGCCCACCCGACTAGAATCACCACTCTCGACGGGTCTGACCTAGAGTATGTGGACAACTACAAATACCTAGGTGTCTGGTTAGACTGTAAACTCTCCTTCCAGACTCACATAAAGAATCTCCAATCCAAAGTTAAATCTAGAATCGGCTTCCTATTTCGCAACAAAGCCTCCTTCACTCATGCTGCCAAACATGCCCTCGTAAAACTGACTATCCTACCGATCCTTGACTTCGGCGATGTCATTTACAAAATAGCCTCCAACACTCTACTCAGCAAATTGGATGTAGTCTATCACAGTGCCATCCGTTTTGTCTCCAAAGCCCCATACACTACCCACCACTGTGACCTGTACGCTCTTGTTGGCTGGTCCTCACTACATGTTCGTCGTCAAACCCACTGGCTCCAGGCCATCTATAAATCACTGCTAGGCAAATCCCCGCCTTATCTTAGCTCATTGGTCACCATAGCAGTACCCACCCGTAGTCTGCGCTCCAGCAGGTATATCTCACTGGTCATTCCCAAAGCCAACACCTCCTTTGGCCGCCATTCCTTCCAGTTCTCTGCTGCCAATGACTGGAACGAATTGCAAAAATCTCTGAAGCTGGAGACTCTTATCTCCCTCACTAACTTTAAGCATCAGTTGTCAGAGCACCTTACCGATCACTGCACCTGTACACAGCCCATCTGAAATTAGCCCACCCAACTACCTCATCCCTATATTGTTATTTATTTTGCTCTTTTGCACCCCAGTATCTCTATTTGCACATAATCTCTTGCACATCTAGCATTCCAGTGTTAATACTATTGTAATTATTTTGCACTATAGCCTATTTATTGCCTTACCTCCATAACTTGCTACATTTGCACACACTGTATATATATTTTCTGTTGTATTTTTGACTTTATGTTTTTTACCCCATATGTAACTCTGTGTTGTTTTTATTGCACTGCTTTGCTTTATCTTGGCCAGGTCGCAGTTGTAAATGAGAACCTGTTCTCAACTGGCTTACCTGGTTAAATAAAGGTTAAATAAAAAATAAAAAAACGTTTAAAATTGTGTTGTGGGCCCCCGGGGCACCTGCCCCTGCGTGCCGATTCGGTAATCGGGCCCTGCTTCCGGTCAACATACAACAAGGCAACGCTCCTCTGTCATCCCATCTCCGACCCTTAACGCACACCCCCTCAACCACCACCGATCTCCCTCCTTATCTCCCTCCCTTTCTCCGTCTTTACCTGTTCATGTTTGGTGACTCGTGTCATACCTGTTCATGTTTGGTGAGACGTGTCTTGTTGTGGATGTCTGAGGAGACCAGGTTGAACTGATGTCTCTCTGCTAGTAACCTCAGTAGGATGACTACCGTCCTGCTGCCACACTTCCCCACACGGTTATACACCACCTGACTGGGGAACGGCAGCACCTGCATGGGGGAACAACATAGAACACACACTGCTGAGGAGATGGAGAGAAGCAACAATTATCTAATCAAATAACAATTAGCTAATCAAAGCCACTGATTATTACCTTCTGGAGGTAACATAAGGTTAAGATAAGGGTAAGAATGATGGTAGGTACAGCTTAAACATGACACCAGGTAAGTGAGGATGAATTTATATAAGGTTAGGACGAAACGAAAGAAGAAAAGAAAGTGAAGAAAGTGGATTGGACCACTCCTTCTCTTAACTCTTACTCTGTCCTTCCTCTCTGACCTCTGACCTATTTTCCCCAGGGGCTGTTCTCACTCGACCCCCGATGCCCTGCCATCCTGCAGATAAACTCCACATTAAGTGCTTTATCATACACATACACATGTACGTGCACACACACACACACACAAACACACACACACACACATACACCCTCAAACATACAAAAACAGCTGACACTGACACACACACTGGTCACTGTAACGCATCCCTCGATTCCATCTGATAGCAGAAGGTTGTCTAAATATTCTGGATCACTGAGAGAAAAATACAGGCAAAGATTCTGTTTGTGTACGCGTGCTCACTGGACATGAGCCTAATTTTAGCTTGAGGACGGCAAGTTTGCACTCATTTGAAAATCAACCCAGAGTCCTGAGGGCCATCGCAACGTTTGCACAGGGGCTCCTGAAGAATGAGGACAATCCTACTGAAATTACCCATGAGAGAGAGAGAGAGAGAGAGATAGAGAGAGAGAGAGAGAGAGAGAGAGAGAGGGAGAGAGAGAGAGAGAGAGAGAGAGAGAGAGAGAGAGAGAGAGAGAGAGAAATAGGTAGAGAAAGAGAGAAGGAGCAACGTGCACCCTATTTTCCGAAAGAAAACGGAAATGAAAGACAAAGCTAGTAGTAGTTGAATAACATCTCAAAGGTGTCACTAGGGATGCTGCTAACCGTTTCCCTGTCATGACTTTTAAACCTTTTTAATATAAATAAAAAGAGTGAAGAATTCAGCGGCGGTAAATTCCTGCCAGCATTCCCCAGTCTGGAATGGTGGCTGAGATTCCCCTTGGGGGAAATGCTACACATCTGACAGGGATACTGAAGACATCTCAGGGTTAGTGGGATGGTGCTTAACCCCATGACAGGCATTTTAGTGTAGTGGTCCACATGTCTGTGCCTTTGTGTGTGTGTGTGTGTGTCTATATGTGCCTGTTTTTCTCCATGTTAACCCCTACATGACCAAACCCCTGTATCCCACTCCACAGTGTTTTGTATGATGAAACCCAGAGCGGTTAGGGCCACCCACACCACTTCATTTTGCTCCTCTATCCTGAACTGTATCCCCACCTCGCCCCAGCAGCACAGTAAAAACAGGGCCTGTCACGTATCAATTTGAGGACAGCCCATCACTTTATCAACAATGTATTTCCTGTTTTTCCAGATTGCTGGAGTTACAGGAAATCATCAGAGGATAAAATGCTTTGGCAGCGGGTGGAAACAGAAATATGTGTGTTGTTTGGCCTTGGCTTGAAAGAGGGAGGATGAAAAATCCCTTGTGATATCTTTGTTTGCACTTGTGTTGATAGGCATGCGTCTGTCTGTGTCATGTCACATGGTTTACACACTTAACTCCCCTTTGGTAAAACATCATCAACACTGTATGAGGTCGTTCTAGACCTAAAGTGGGTTTATTTCATAGAAAAGAGGGCTGTATTCAATCAAAAGTGTCTGGCGCTAGAAAAAAACGAAATATTCCTCTTGCACATCCTGACAGCGGAATTAGATCCAACTAACAAATAAAACAATTATCAAAGTGTGAAACAATAAGACAATCAACTCTGTATCAATTCTGGCAGCACAGAAAGACATTAGGTTCAAGTGTGTTTCTCTTGAACAGGCCTACCATGTCTCTGTGTTTGTAGTAATACCAGACCGCTCAGTTTATCACCTTCTAATGGCAGTGATGACATATCTGCTGTATTTGCATGAACAAAAAAAAATCCAGGTTTTTTAGCATTAGCTCACAGAGGGCAGGGAACCCTAGGGGCTTAGCCACCCCAGTACAACCCCTCTGATGTGGTTGCTAATGGTAGCTAGCGGCGGCCAAACTTTGATCTGAAAGGAGGGAAGAAAAATAGGGGGGAAAACCACAAGCAGTAGCCAGGCAGCTAATATAGCCTACACAAGAGCACAGCGTTTTACAGTAGCCTATAAGTCACCCACTAAGCATTTAGGCCTCTTTTTTTGGTCCTGTTGTGGCGCCTTTCTTTTTTGTAGTTTGGACTGACCTTGATTTCAACGTCCAAGGACGTAGATTTTTGGTGCGTTCCGGACCAAATCTGAACCAATCATAGACGTCTATTTTTGGTTCAGATTTTGTCCGGTCTGGACCGGCCTTTATTTCAACGTCCTCAGACATCCGGTCCGTACCGGCCTATATTTGGCCCAATCATAGCCGTCTATGTTTCACAAGTTTGGACAGCACAGTACAGCACAATTCAGTACTGTAGAGCACAGCAGAGTACAGTACATTACAGTAAAGTACACAGTAAAGTAAAGAAAAGTATAGTATAGTACAGTACAGTACAATACAGTAGAGCACAGTAAAGTACAGTAAAGAAAAGTAAAGTACAGTGTACCGTATTTCAAGTAATGTACCCTACTTTACTCTAATGCACTCTACTGAACTAAATTGTACTGTACTCTACTGAATTAAACTATACTGTACTATACTCTACCCCTTAGGGGGGCGCCAGAGTTCACAGGGGGGATGCGTGATCTCATTTGCTTTGAGGTCAAATGTTCCACTATAATTTAATTGTAAAATTAATACATTTTAAAATGTTATAAAAAATCATATGCTTGCAATGCCAAGGCAGATCTAAAAAATTATAATAATGTCAGAGAAACGTAAAAGCGGTAATTCCCCAGGAAAAAAAATTGTGCACGTCAATGACCCGCGCTCAATCAGTTTTAGCTAGCAGCTCGTTTTTCCTGCAGTCAGAGCATCACTATTTTATGAATAAAACAACATGTCTAAGAAACGTAAAAGTGCTGATGACTCATCATCAAAAAGAAAGTAAGGCTATATCTCGAGAGTTATCTTAATTTTGGTTTTATTGAAGGACAGGACAGGACTCGGCCAGAATGTGTCATTTGTGGCGAGAAGCTAGCTAATGACAGCATGAAGCCAAGCAAAATGCAACGACACCAGGAAACAAAACACCAGGAGACTATTGGTGAAGGTCAGGATTTTTTGGAGAGGAAGAAGCAGTTGGCACTATCAAAAAGATCCACTGACATCAGAAAAGCATTTGAAAGAGCAGGCAGTGATTTACACAGTGCCACGGAGGCATCATTTGAGTGTTCGCTATTAATTACCAAGGCTAAAAAGCCGCACAATATTGGAGAGCAGCTAATCAAACCCGCCTGCCTGAAAATTGTAGAGAGGCTGTGTGACCCACAGGTGGTGGATAAAGTGAGAACCGTCCCACTCTCTGACAACACTGTCAAAGACAGAATTGATCAAATGGCTGGAGATTGTCAAAACCAGCTGCACAAGAAGCACGAGAATATTGTTGCATGCTGCACTGATGGGGCTGCAGCGTTGATGGGCAAAAACAAGGGATTTAACAGCCGATTGAAGGAAAAAGCCCCGGGGTGCGCAATTTTCCACTGCCTGCTACATCGCCAAGCATTGGCCAGTAAAAAACTTTCGGAACTGTTTGCCCAGCTGTGTGAGGATGAAGTGCATCAAACACTGCTGTTACACACAGAGGTACGCTGGTGATACTTGTTTGGGGGAGAAGCTCATTAGAATAATAATAAGCATGCTTTGCAAGTGTTTGTTTTTACATTTACATTTTGGTTATTCAGCAGACGCTCTTATTCAGAGCGACTTACAGTCATTGCATTCAACTAAGGTAGATAAACAACAGACTAAATACAGGCACACACTCCAACATGCATACAGACATGCAGCGGCCTGAACATGCATACAGACATGCAGCGGCCTGAACATGCATACAGACATGCAGCGGCCTGAACATGCATACAGACATGCAGCGGCCTGAACATGCATACAGACATGCAGCGGCCTGAACATGCATACAGACATGCAGCGGCCTGAACATGCATACAGACATGCAGCGGCCTGAACATGCATACAGACATGCAGCGGCCTGAACATGCATACAGACATGCAGCGGCCTGAACATGCATACAGACATGCAGCGGCCTGAACATGCATACAGACATGCAGCGGCCTGAACATGCATACAGACATGCAGCGGCCTGAACATGCATACAGACATGCAGCGGCCTGAACATGCATACAGACATGCAGCGGCCTGAACATGCATACAGACATGCAGCGGCCTGAACATGCATACAGACATGCAGCGTCCTGAACATGCATACAGACATGCAGCGGCCTGAACATGCATACAGACATGCAGCGGCCTGAACATGCATACAGACATGCAGCAGCCTGAACATGCATACAGACTAGTGTCTGTAACCGTTACTGAGAACGTTATTGTCGTTGAAGTGGTCTTTTATTTTATTCTGTAGATTGGACTACTTTGAACATCATCGCTGCCAGTTGTAAGGTTTTTGAAAAAACTAACATAAGTGCATGTGACAGATGAGAGCAATATTAAATATTCTGTTGCAATTTTCTTTTTCTTTTTATTGTGATATAATGCTTACTTCATTGAGAATGTGTGTGCAGTTGAAATTTGGCCATATAATCAATGACTGAAAAATAAGTATTTTTCAATGCCTGTAAATTACGTCTTTTCATCACCCGGAAAATAGGTATTTTTGATGTTCGGAAAATACGTCTTTTCACCTTTTATTCAGCACCTAAATGCACCTGATTTCAACGTCCGGAAAATACGTATTTTCAACGTCCGGTAGTTAGTGCTTTTGAGGTCGGTTCATTTCGGTTTGATTATGACAAAATAATGACGGTTTTTTAATTTTGGTTTCGATAATTTTTTACAACATTAAATGCACTATGTATTATGTGGGTTGAATGCTGTAACAACACAGAATAAAACAATTAATATAAGTCCCATGATGGTAATGACTGCCCATTACTGCTTATCACTTGTCGTGACGTGACTTTCATTATTGTGATGACTATTATTTATCGAATAATGACCTACTATGTTTAATTGTTACTAGATGAAATTAATCATGTAACAATTAACTCATTAGGAATTTGGGGCACCACGGGAAAAGTTGTTTAACGAGTTACTGTTTCCCGAATTAACTCTAAAGATATCTAGATATCTCTTATTATTTAACAGTCATTTATTAATCACTTACCTCATATCAGTCTCATTCTGAAAGTCGTAGACTCTTTAAGTCTGCACAAACCCGGGTCTTAAAGATCATTCCGTACCACACAAATTGATTTAATTATTTATTTACTAACTAATTAAAAATGATAACACAAGATACAAACACGTACACGGTATAGGTAGGGATTATAAACTTAATACAATGAAAACAGGTCCCTAGCAGACTAACACAATATGACACTTGTTACAAAAGATGGCGAGTTAAAGAGAGAGAGAAAACACTTGGATACACATGGACCTACGCTTACAGTAATCCTAATAATTTGCCCGGAACTGCCGCCCGTTTGGGAAGAAAAGCAATGCATGTATTTACGTGTTGGAGGTCTTCGTCGTGTATCTCTGTTGGACCCAGGCCTTCGTGGGAAGGGGTCGATTGGACCTTCTCTTTCGGATGGCCTTTTAGATGTAAGGCTCAGATTGTCCACAAGAAATCACAATGTCCTTCTTCTTAATTGTCTGTTTAATTTCACTCGTTCTGGAAGTGGTCTTCTGAGGACGGCTAATCAGCCGTGTCGATGATCCCCTGTGGGGTGATGAGAGCAGTGTTGTAGACGCTGGTTTGAAGAGAGTAACAGGATGGTCCCACTTAAATTCACCTTCTTAGATACAGTACTTAGAACAGCTACTCAGCAGTAACATTGATTGTTAGTGGAGGCAACTTTGTCGTCTTCACCTCGTGTTGATTTTCAGGGTCGGGACCAATATGGACAAAAGCTGCAGCTTGAGGTCCGTCTAGTCTGATCTGATAATTCTTATCACAATCTTTTATGCACTCTGGTAAAGAGGGCCGTTTCCGTCCTACTGACACGCTCTCTGAGCTCCCACGGGCGTGGCTAGTTACGAGGCAAAAGTATTATCATCACTATGATTTTGTTAGAAAGCTAAATCACATTCCTATCTTCACGAAAACATTGTCTTCCTCCTTGATATTTTCTACACAACGTAAAGGATGTAAACGTGATATACACAGTGTAAAAGCTCTTCAAGTCACAATGTTTTCGTTATAACGCCTTTATAATCACAAAATAGACATTAATTTTCCATATTCCATTTCTCATCATTCCCAACGTTTGGATGTTGAGATATATTGTCCCAATGTTTATTGTTGGATGTTTAAGTTTTTGGACGGCAAAAAAACCTCTGAAACAAAGGCATTCCTTTCACCATAGTAGAATGCCAGAGATAGATTCTCCTCCTCTCTAATTTATGGCAGTATTAAGGTGTCAAGACCGGCACAGCTCCCCGTGGGTAGGAGGGTGTGGTTGTTTTCGGCCATTTGCCAAGCTGATGGGAGGCCTTTGATCCTCACCCAGGGAAAGTCATGACACACTTATTAACCATAATTTATTAAAATTACTTTACTTTACTAAAATAATTTCAGATTTGTTTTATTTGATTACTTTATTAATTCATTCCAAGTCATCATCTCATCTCTATAGAGCTGCTGCCTTTGCTGACTGACAAAATCACTATTTAAGTAGTTCTTCAAAGTAAATAAGGCATACTTTTATGACTGCTGAATACCAACTATCAATCACTTAGATAATGTATTTTCAAGTAGAGATACCTTGCGAAGCAACTGCTCTATCCCACTCAATCGCGCATTCTTCTGTGTCTTTTACATAGCAGGCGTAAAACAAACACATACCGGACAAGTAGGCGCGCAATGGATTACAGTAATTGTAGTTAATTACCACATTTTCTGAATTAAACTATGTAGAATTTTGAACTGTTGGAAACTACAACTCCCTAATACATTGCACAGTTCGGGCTTGATCTGATTTATCTCTACAGAAACTGCGCAGTGTGCACATTCAGCTCACAGAAAAACAAACTAAATGGAATTCAAATAATTGAACCGACGTCGGTCAATTAGTTGTTTAAAAACTGAAAAATAACCGAAATGTCGGGTTAATCTCTCAGCACTAATGTCCGGAAAATACACATTTTCAACGTCCGGGGAAAAACATATTTTTACCTTTCATTCAGCACCTAAAATGCACCTGACATCAAAGTCATTTTGCTTACTGGGAAATGACCACAGAAAAGAGGCCAAAAAGGCTGAATTGGGATAATAACCAATTAGAAGTGTATTGAACTATTGAACTCCTATGTTCAAAATGAGTGCCCAATTAAAAGTGCTTTGAACTATGTTGAAAACAAGACCTTGATAGAGAGAGGAAATAGAGGCACTATCAGTCCTTTCTCTCCATTGTAATCCCACTGATCAGTGAGTTAAAAAATTGTGTTTGTGTTCTGTGTAAATAAATAGTGAGGATTCATTATGTTCCTGGCTGACTATTGGCAATTTGGAGACCAGTCAGCCTGTCCAGATGACCAAAAGCCTCTCTGTGGCAAACCCTAGCAGTACAAAAACAAGATTGGTATGAGCCAGATCTCTCATCAACAGTCTTTCCTGTCCATGTGAGCATATAACTCATCTTGGTGAAGTGGTCAGGGAAAACTCTTAGCCCAACTCAGCGCTACTCATCACCACAGTCCAGACCGTTACACCACAGTTCACGCCAGCCCCTGTTCAGACAGATAATACTCTGGCTTGTACTTTACCTCAAAGTTAGCCTGGGTTAGTAGCCTGCACTACAACAGACCTCTCCAAGTCAACTTAATAACATATAAACATGGGCCAGATGTTACCAGGCTTAATTAGGACAGCCAGACCTTCAGATCAGTTCCAAAGAGACACTTAGCCAGACTCCTCACACAGACACAAAGGCACACACACACACACACACACGCTCACAAACACATGCGCACACACGTCAGATAAACTCTGAATACGTAGCCAAAGCTTGCTAGCCTAGCCACATATACGAATGCCACAGAAATGTACGTCTCACCCAAGAGTTGGATTGAGTTGGATTGATAAATATGTCACAGAGAGAAGGGGGAATGTGAGACAGGAAGAAGAGACTGAAAGAGAGGTGGATCAAAGAGAGAAGAGGTGAGAGAATGATATACACTACCATTCAAAAGTTTGGGGTCACTTAGAAATGTCCTTGTTTTCGAAAGAAAAGCCATTTTTCTGTCCATTAAAATAACATCAAATTGATCAGAAATACAGTGTAGACATTGTTAATGTTGTAAATGGCTATTGTAGCTGGAAATGGCTGATTGTTAATGGAATATCTACATAGGCATACAGAGGCCCATTATCAGCAACCATCAGTCCTGTGTTCCAATGGCAAACTTGCTAATTCAAGTTTATCATTTTAAAAGGCTAATTGATCAATAGAAAACCCTTTTGCAATTATGTTAGCACAGCTGAAAACTGTTGTGCGGATTAAAGAAGCAATAATACTGGCCTTCTTGAGACTAGTTGAGTATCTGGAGCATCAGCAATTGTGGGTTCGATTACAGGCTCAAAATGGCCAGAAACAAATAACTTTCTTCTGAAATAGCCTTAATTTCTCAGAACAAGAATAGACTGATGAGTTTCAGAAGGAAGTTATTTGTTTTAGAGAATTAGGAAGTACGTCCAACCGGCCTCACAACCGCAGATCAAGTGTAACCACGCTAGCCCAGGACCTCCACATCCGGCTTCTTCACCTGCGTGATCGTCTGATGAAACTGAGGAGTATTTCTGTTTGTAATAAATACCTTTTTTGGGGAAAAACTCATTCTGATTGGCTGAGCCTTGCTCCCCAATGGGTGGGCCTGGCTCCCAAGTGGGTGGGCCTATGCCCTCCCAGGCCCACCCATGGCTGCGCCCCTGCCCAGTCATGTGAAATCCATAGATTAGGGCCTAATGAATTTATTTCAATTGACTGATTTCCTTATATGAACTGTAACTCAGTAAAATCTTAGAAATTGTTGCACGTTGCATTTATATTTTTGTTCAGTATAGATACAAGGGTGATAAATAGAAGGGTGGAAATAGGGGATGAAAGAAAGTGTGGATGAGGGTTGATTGAAAGGGATAGAAATAGAGAGGGATAGAAGTGAGATAGAGGCAGACAGATGCAGCTGGCCAGACACAAGGCCCAGTGTGTGTGTGTGCGGGCATGTGTGTGTTAGTGTCAGTATTTGGTATTTAGAGTGGGTTCACACAAAGCTTCTCCAGACATAGACCTCACCCTTATCCTGCCTGGACTGGACTGGCACACTCACTCACACACACACGCACAGACGCACACACACACACACGCACACACACACACACACAAACACACACACACACACACACACACACACACACACACACACACACACACACACACAGGGCAGCACATCAGAGAGAGATGGAGGAGAGAAAGGGGAGGAGAGGGAGATAGAAAACAAGGAGAGGGAGATAGAAATAAGGTGGGGGATCAGAGGGAGTGTGAGGTAGAGAAAGATGAAGTGATAGAGTAATGAAAAAGAAAAAGAGTGACTGCTGTAGTGATGGTCTTACCCGGGGAGCTGGGGGTCCGTGGTCATCGAGATATGTGGATTCTCCTGTGAAGAAACAGAGGTATAGATATTTAGAATGTGATTATATTCAGGGGATACAGTCCAATAGTGTTCAATCGTATTATGGCAAATCCACTGACAGAAAGATCAGTTGCATTGAGTTAAGATTCCACAGGCTAGTGACCTCAAGTCAAGGGCTATCAATAAATATCTGAATAAATATCACACAGACAGGAAGGCAATCTATATCCAGCCACAACAATCATCAATAACCACCAATAGCCCGGCCTGGCCAGTCACGATCTCTCTAAGAAAAACAGAGCGGCCTTCACATCCACATAAAGAGTGGGAATGTCATCATGAGTGAGCTATGGCCCATTTATACAGTATCTGCCAGTTGTGAAGCCGTTTCATCTCTGGACAAAGGGTCCCTTGAACCGCCTCACACTGAGGATCTATGCTCTCCTTTCAGCCCACTCTCCAACTCCAGGACCAGGCTCCAGACAGCGGCCTTTTCTTCTCCACTCTGCACTTGGAGTGGAGCGCGTCCAGAGACACTGAGACGCTATACTTCCCATCACCTCTACAACATTCAGAGGAAAGGAGAGAGAGAGAGAGAGAGAGAGAGAGAGAGAGAGAGGAGAGAGAGAGAGAGAGAGAGAGAGAGGAGAGAGAGAGAGAGAGAGAGAGAGAGAGAGAGAGAGAGAGAGAGAGAGAGAGAGAGGGAGAAAGAAAGAGAGAGAGAGAGAGAGAGAGAGAGAGAGAGCGAAGGGGGTGAAGGTTGGGTTGTTCTTAAATATAAAGAGAAGGGAGGACCTCTACTCACTGGCAAAATGTATCAAAGCCAACGGTGCAATATTCTAGAACACTGCTGTGCGTACGCATATACGTTTTGGACTATGATAGATGCATTCGTCATTGGTCTGAGCTGTGTCGACCAAAGCATTCTCACTTGGCCTCGGCTCATTGGCACATTAGTTCTAGGCTTGTATAGGAAGTACATTGTATGACTTGGAAGCACTGGCTGTGTCCGAATACCCATACAGTGCATTCGGAAAGTATTCAGACCCCTTGACTTTTTCCACATTTTGTAACATTACAGCCTTATTCTAAAATGGAATATGAAATATTACATTTACATAAGTATTCAGACCCTTTACTCAGTACTTTGTTGAAGCACCTTTTGGCAGCAATTACAGCCTTGAGTCTTCTTGGGTATGATGCTACAAGCTTGGCACACCTGTTTTTGTGGAGTTTCTCCCATTCTTCTCTGCAGATCCTCTCAAGCTCTGTCAGGTTGGATGGGGAGCGTCGCTGCACAGCTATTTTCAGGTCTCTCCAGAAATGTTTGATTGGGTTCAAGTCCCGGCTCTGGCTGGGCCACTCAAGGACATTCAGAGACTTGTCCCGAAGCCACTACTGCGTTGTCTTGGCTGTGTGCTTAGGGTCATTGTCCTGTTGGAAGGTGAACCTTCACCCCAGTCTGAGGTCCTAAGCGCTCTGGAGTAGGTTTTCATCAAGGATCTCTCTGTACTTTGCTCCGTTCATCTTCCCTCTATCCTGACTAGTCTCCCAGTCCCTGCTGCTGAAAAACATCCCCCACAGCATGATGCTGCCACCACCATGCTTCACCGTAGGGATGGTGCTAGGTTTCCTCCAGACGTGACGCTTGGCGTTCAGGCCAAAGAGTTCAATCTTGGTTTCATCAGACCAGAGAATCTTGTTTCTCATGGTCTGAGAGTCCTTTAGGTGCCTTTTGGCAAACTCCAAGCGGGCTGTCATGTGCCTTTTACTGAGGAGTGGCTTCTGTCTGGCCACTCTGGTCTGATTGGTAGAATGCTGCAGAGCTGGTTGTCCTTCTGGAAGGTTCTCCCATCTCCAAAGAGGAACTCTGGACCTCTGTCAGAGTGACCATTAGGTTCTTGGTCACCTTCCTGACCAAGGCCCTTCTCCCCAGTTTGGCCAACTCTAGGAAGAGTCTTGGTGGTTCCAAACTTCTTCCATTTAAGAACAGACAGCTGCCATCCACCCACAACGACAGGAGCAGTGGAACCTACTGATTCTCCATGGAGTTCTGTGTTCTTCTCTAGTCTAGTCCTCTAGTCACCTTGGCTACATTCACAACACTATGGTTGGATTATATGGTTTCATGCTATGGCTAGTAGTTGTATGGTTTGGAGTAGAAACATCTATGGTATACATCCTCTCACACTTGAGCCATGACCATCTTTGATGATCACGTCTCTTTCATTCTCACATGACACTCAATAAGTGTAGCCAACTTACAGAGGTCATACATACCAGGGTTGGGCTCAATTAAGAATTGAATTGAGAATGCCTCATAAATTCCAATTAAATTCTTGAATTTGAATTTAATTTGAATTGTAGTAAACAGGATACAGACATAATTGCATAATTCAGTGAAATTCAATGAAATTCAAATGCCTATTATATTCTATATTAGGTGTAGTCTATACAAATATACAGTGAGGGAAAAAAGTATTTGATCCCTGCTGATTTTGTACATTTGCCCACTGACAAAGAAATGATCAGTCTATAATTTTAATGGTATGATTATTTGAACAGTGAGAGACAGAATAACAACAAAAAAAACCAGAAAAACGCATGTCAAAAATGTTATAAATTGATTTGCATTTTAATGAGGGAAATAAGTATTTGACCCCCTCTCAATCAAAAAGATTTCTGGCTCCCAGGTGTCTTTTCTACAGGTAACGAGCTGAGATTAGGAGCACACTCTTAAAGGGAGTGCTCCTAATCTCATCTTGTTACCTGTATAAAAGACACCTGTCCACAGAAGCAATCAATCAATCAGATTCCAAACTCTCCACCATGGCCAAGACCAAAGAGCTCTCCAAGGATGTCAGGGACAAGATTGTAGACCTACACAAGGCTGGAATGGGCTACAAGACCATCGCCAAGCAGCTTGGTGAGAAGATGACAACAGTTGGTGCGATTATTCGCAAATGGAAGAAACACAAAAGAACTGTCAATCTCCCTTGGCCTGGGGCTCCATGCAATGATCATGAGAACGGTGAGGAATCAGCCCAGAACTACACGGGAGGATCTTGTCAATGATCTCAAGGCAGCTGGGACCATAGTCACCAAGAAAACAATTGGTAACACACTACGCCGTGAAGTACTGAAATCCTGCAGAGCCTGCAAGGTCCCCCTGCTCAAGAAAGCACATATACATGCCCATCTGAAGTTTGCCAATGAACATCTGAATGATTCAGAGGAGAACTGGGTGAAAATGTTGTGGTCAGATGAGACCAAAATGGAGCTCTTTGGCATCAACTCAACTCGCCGTGTTTGGAGGAGGAGGAATGCTGCCTATGACCCCAAGAACACCATCCCCACCGTCAAACATGGAGGTGGAAAATTATGCTTTTGGGGTGTTTTTCTGCTAAGGGGACAGGACAACTTCACCGCATCAAAGGGACGATGGACGTGGCCATGTACCGTCAAATCTTGGGTGAGAACCTCCTTCCCTCAGCCAGGGCATTGAAAATGGGTTGTGGATGGGTATTCCAGCATGACAATGACCCAAAACACACGGCCAAGGCAACAAAGGAGTGGCTCAAGAAGAAGCACATTAAGGTCCTGGAGTGGCCTAGCCAGTCTCCAGACCTTCATCCCATAGAAAATCTGTGGAGGGAGCTGAAGGTTCGAGTTGCCAAACGTCAGCCTCGAAACCTTAATGACTTGGAGAAGATCTGCAAAGAGGAGTGGGACAAAATCCCTCCTGAGATGTGTGCAAACCTGGTGGCCAACTACAAGAAACGTCTGACCTCTGTGATTGCCAACAAGGGTTTTATCACCAAGTACTAAGTCATGTTTTGCAGAGGGGTCAAATTCTTATTTCCCTCATTAAAATGCAAATCAATTTATACCATTTTTTACATGTGTTTTTCTGGATTGTTTTGTTGTTATTCTGTCTCTCACTGTTCAAATAAACATACCATTAAATTATAGACTGATCATTTCTTTGTCAGTGGGCAAACGTACAAAATCAGCAGGGGATCAAATACTTTTTTCCCTCACTGTACATCTTATACATCTTGTACATAAAACATCAAACATGTCATTATATACATGCAAATAAAAGATTGTTGAATTTTTTTACAAACTCTTAATGATCAAGGAAAACAAAACCTGTATTAGAATATTCTAAGTTATTATATTTCATTCATCACTTACATTTTGTTCAATATGGGGTAAATATTACATCTACCAGAATGAATTAGTTTAACCCTCAAATTGACCCTGAGGACTTCAAAAAGAAGCCAAACAAATTAAATGGTTGGTGGAAATATAATTGGCTATATTAAGCACTAAGATTAAAAGAGTATATGAACATTGTTTCCAGAGAAAGGTGCTATATTCATTGGTATCTGGAAGTGTGAACTGTCAGATTAAATTAAACGCTCATGTTCTATTACTAACCACATTTCCATCCACAGTTTTTATGCGAGTAGAGTCATACCGTATAAAAAAAATCACGACAGCTGTGATGGAAACAGGAAGTTTCGTTACAATCTTTGTAAATGCCGACAGATCAATTGTTTGTTTGATATAGTGGGATCTTTTTGTGTCTGTACAATTAATTATGCGAGAAATGGAGGTGGAAACAACTTTATGTGTATAATAACTTGGGAGTCACGCGATGACATGGGGTGTGGTCCTCCCACTACAACTCGGGAAACCATGCAGTTTATTAGGCTACAGATGAAATAAGTTATGATGAACTTCACAGGGTGGTGAAAGTGCATGGTATGAGCTTGATTCTCCTTTCCAATAAATCTCGAGGGTCTTATTCTGGTGACAGGTTGATCGATGCTTGACTGCCATTTGACAAATATCCATAATAATCTCATCATGTAGACTAGCCTACCTACACAGCCTACCCACACAGCCAACCCACACAGCCTACCCACAGAGCCTACCCACAGAGCCTACCCACAGAGCCTACCCACAGAGCCTACCCACACAGCCTACCCACAGAGCCTACCCACAGAGCCTACCCACACAGCCTACCCACAGAGCCTACCCACAGAGCCTACCCACAGAGCCTACCCACACAGCCTACCCACAGAGCCTACCCACACAGCCTACCCACAGAGCCTACCCACAGAGCCTACCCACAGAGCCTACCCACACAGCCTACCCACAGAGCCTACCCACAGAGCCTACCCACAGAGCCTACCCACAGAGCCGACCCACAGAGCCGACCCACACAGTATCTGTTGGCTAGAACCAGAGTAAGCACATTTACTATTTAACGCAACAGTTTGTGACAAAACTATAGGTAGAGTTGAAAATTTGATGGAAACACATTGAATATTACATTTTTATTTGGTACATGAAAACTTAAGCGAAAAAGTACATTTTGAGTTCATTTACATTTTAGTAATTTAGCAGACGCTCTTATCCAGAGCGACTTACAATTAGTGAGTGCATACATTTTTTATTTTTTTCATACTGGTCCCCCGTGGGAAATGAACCCACAACCCTGGCGTTGCAAATGCCATGCTCTACCAACTGAGCTACACGGGACTATTCACTATGTCATCACTCACTGCTTTTTATCCGCAACAAGTCAGTTTGGTGTAAACACACCACCGGTGGGAAAATGTGCATATTTTCTTTATACAGATTTTAGAATATTCGCATTAAAATCTGGTGCCAATTGGATGGAAACATAGCTACTGAGTGGAATTTCTTTGAATTGCACTGAATTAAATTCTACTTCCTGTCACTCAAACTCAAATTCGAATTCTACATCCTGTGGCGTGTGGCCAATTCAATTCAAATTTCAACTCATGAATTGTATGGGAGTCAATTCCAAAATTCTGAAATAAACCCAACCCTGATACATATGGTACATGGACAACAGTGATTGAAGAAGGGGAGAGATGGGAGAGGAAGGGAGAGATGTGAGAGTCAGGGGGAGAAGGGGGAGGAAGGGGGAGAAGGGGGAGGAAGGGGGAGAAGGGCTAGGGTTCACACAGCAGGAAAAGTAGATGTTCTTTGACCCTCAGGTAACACCTTAAACTCTGACCCATAGCCAGGGGTTACAGAGAGGTGAGTGTGTGTCTCTCTCTCTTCCTGTGTCTGTGTGTGTGTGTATGTGTGTGTATGTGTGTGTCTGTCTGTGTGTGTGTGTGTGTGTGTGTGTGTGTGTGTGTGTGTGTGTGTGTGTGTGTGTGGCAAAGGGGTTAATGGGATTAGTGTGTCATGGGATACAGGGGCGTGTTACTGGCTGAACAGCAGATTAAGGTGCCCTACCATAGATGTTCAAATCAAATGCAAAAAAAATTGTCACATGCGCCGAATAAAACAAGTGTAGACTTTACCGTGAACTGCTTACTTACGAGCCCATTCCCAAAAATACAGAGTTAAAAAGTAAGAAAATAATAAGAAAAAAAGGAAATAGTAACAAAATAATATAATAACAATAATGAGGCTTTATACAAGGAGTACTGGTACCGAGTCAATGTGCAGGGGTACGAGGTAGTTGAGGTAATTGAGGTAATATGTACATTTAGGTAGGGGTAAAAGTGACTGAGCAATCAGGAGAGATAATAAACAGAGTAGCAGAAGTGCATGTGAAGAGTGTGAAAGTGTGTATGTGTGAGTGTGTGTGTGTGGTGTCAATATGCATGTGTGTGTGTGTTTTGTGTGTGTGAGCGTATGTAGCGTGTGAGTGTGTGTTGGAGTGTCAGTGTAGTATGTGTGAGTGTGTGGGTAGAGTCCAGTGAGTCTGCATAGAGCCAGTGCAAGAATGTCAGTGCAAAAAAATGGGGTCAATGCAAATAGTCCAGGTAGTCTTATGTCTTGGGGGTAGAAGCTGTTCTGGAGCCTTTTGGTCCCAGACTTGGCGCTCCGGTACCGCTTGCCGTGCGGTAGCAGAGAGACCAATCTATGACTTGGGTAGCTGGAGTCTTTGACAGTTTGTAGGGCCTTCCTCTGACACTGCCTGGTATAGAGGTCCTGGATGGCAGGGAGCTTGGCCCCAGTGATGTACTGGGCCATATACACTACCCTCTGTAGCACCTTACGGTCGACTGCCAAGCAGTTGCCATACCAAGCGGTGATGCAGCCAGTCAAGATGCTCTCAATGGTGCAGCTGTAGAACTTTTTGAGGATCTGAGGGCCCACGCCAAATCTTTTTGGCCTCCTGAGCGGGAAGAGGCGTTGTCGTGCCCTCTTCACGACTGTGTCGGTGTGTTTGGACCATGATTAGTCCTTAGTGATGTGGACACCGAAGAACTTGAAGCTGTCGACCCATTCCACTACAGTCCCGTCGATGTGAATAGGGGCGTGCTCGGCCCTCCGTTTCCTGTAGTCCACGATCAGCTCCTTTCTCTTGTTGACGTTGAGGGAAAGGTTGTTGTCCTGGCACTACACTGCTAGGTCTCTGAGCTCCTCCTTGTAAGCTGTCTCATTGTTGTCAGGGATCAGACCTACCACCGTTGTGTCATCGTCAAATGTAATGATGTGTTGGAGTCGTGCGCGGCCACACAGTCGTGGGTGAACAGGGAGTAAAGGAGGGGACTAAGCACACACCCCTGAGGGGCCCCCGTGTTGAGGGTCAGCGTGGTCAATGTGTTGTAGCCTACTGTCACCACCTGGTGGTGGCCCTTCAGGAAGTCCAGGATCTAGTTGCAGAGGGAGGTGTATAATCCCAGGGTCCTTAGTTTAGTGATGAGCTTGGAGGGCACTATGGTGTTGAATGTTGAGCTGTAGTCAATGAACAGCATTCTCACGTAGGTGTTCCTTTTGTCCAGGTGGGAAAGGGCAGTGTGAAGTGCAGTAGAGATTGTGTCATCTGTGGATCTGTTGGGGTGGTATGCGAATTGGAGTGGGTCCATGGTGTCTGGGATGATGGTGTTGGTATGAGCCATGACCATTTCATGGCTACAGATGTGAGTGCTATGGAGCGATAGTCATTTAGACAGGTTACCTTGGCGTTCTTGGGCACAGGGACTATGGTGGTCTGCTTGCAACATGTAGGTATTACAGACTGGGTCAGGAGAGGTTGAAGACACTTGCCAGTTGGTCAGCACATGCTCTGAGTACGCGTCGTGGTATACAGTGCAAACTGTGATGCAGTGCCTTAGACCGCTGCGCCACTCGGGAGGCTCGCTTTGCCTGTTTGATGGTTTGTCGATGGGCGTAGCGGGATTTCTTATATGCATCCGGAATAGTGTCTTGCTCCTTGAAAGCGGCAACTCTTTAGCTCAGTGCCAATGTTGCCTGTAATCCATGGTTTCTGGTTGGGATATGTACGTACGGTCACTGTGGGGACGACGTCGTTGATGCACTTATAAATGAAGCCGATGACTGATGTGGTAAATTCCTCAATGCCATCGGATGAATCCCAGAACATATTCCAGTTTGTGCTAGTGAAACAGTCCAGTAGCTTAGCATCCGCTTTATCGGACCACTTCCGTATTGATCGTGTCACTGGTACTTCCTGTTTGAGTTTTTGCTTGTAAGCAGGAATCAGGAGGATAGAGTTATGGTCAGATTTGCCAAATAGAGGGTGAGGGAGAGCTTTGTATGTGTGTCTGTGTGTGGAGTAAAGGTGATCTACAGTTGCATGCTGGTAGAAATGAATTTTCCTGCATTAAAATCAACGGCCACTAGGAGCCCCGCCTCTGGGTGAGCATTTTCTTGTTTGCTTATGGCCTTATACAGCTCGTAGTGCCAGCATCGGTTTGTGGTGGTAAATAGACAGCTACGAAAAATATAGATGACAACTCTCTTGGTAAATACACAGAACAAAAATATAAACGCAACATGCAACAATTTCAAAGATTTTACTGAGTTACAGTTACAGTAAGGAAATCAGTCAATTGAAAAAAATCATTAGGCCCTAATCTATGGATTTCACATGGCTGGGAATAGAGGGTAGGGGTGTGGATCAGAAAACCAGTCAGTATCTGGAGTGACCACCATTATCCTAATGCAGCGCGACACATTTACTTCACATAGAGTTGATCAGGCTGTTGATTTTGGCCTGTGGAATGTTGTCCCACTCGTCTTCAATGGCTATGCGAAGTTGCTGGATGTTGGCGGGAACTGGAACACACTTTCGTACACGTCGATCCAGAGCATCCCAAACATGCTCAATGGGTGACGTGTCTGGTGTCCTGCCGATGTATAGAAAAACCAGTTAGATTTATATTTTCCATGTCCTTGTTCAGCCACAACTCGTAGGAGAAACATAGGATATTACAGTTCTTCAGATCACGTTGATAAGATAGTCTCAAACGGAGCTTGTCCATTTTATTCTCCAGTGATTGCATGTTCGCCAATAGAACGGAGGGTAGAGGCGGTTTATCCACTCTCCGACGTAGTCTCTTCAGGTATCCCGCATGCCGGCCTCTATAGAGCCACCTCCTCCTTCTCCGAATGTGTCAGGGATTTGGGCCTGGTCCGGGAAAATCAATATGTCCTTTGCCTCCAACTCATTGAAGTAGAAGTCCTCATCCAAATCGAGGTTAGTGATAGCTGTTCTGATCGTAGGAAACGATGGCGGAAACGTTATGTAGAAAAAAAGTTACGATCAGTGCAAAAAATACACAAAATACTGTAGCACAATTGGTCAGGAGCCAATAAAACGGCTGCTATTCCCTCCAGCACCATTGAAGATAGTTGCCATCAAACCGTACTGTTCTTTTTCTCATTAGCTAGCCATGTGTAGCCGACATGTTTATGCATCAATAAAGATAAAGATAAAATGTGGTCATAGAAATAAATAGATTGTAATAGCCCATTCCATCAGCTGCACATTTCATAGAAGAAAACAAGGACCATGATACATAACAGCTACACAAACGATGGAAAATTCCATCACCATATCCCAGTCTTCGCAAACAAACATTCCCACATTCCCAAAAACGTTTATATAGCTTTGCCAAGGCAGGGTCCTAAGAGCTATCTAAACAATGTGCATCACTGTCTACTAAAGTTAAACATTACTCCATACCAAGACACAGACGTCAAAGTGATCCAGGATGGATCCACAAGGCCCAGTGCCCAGCCGATCCTTCCCCAGCCAGCAACAACCCAACCCCTGGTTTCTGGAGCTTAGTGGCTCGTTAGAGAAAATGTACACCTCCACTATTCAGACTCTTTGCCAGTTGGTCTCTGGCTGGGATCAAAGGTCAGATTTCCGGACTTTGGGTCCAGAAATGTGCCACGGAATCGCAAAGTAATTGTAACCAAAAGCAACACAGGAGCAAAATTCTACGTGCAGCAGTGGTTTGTTTGCTGAGAGAGACTCTGGAGTAATGGGTTCCAGTCTCTAATAGGGCTGTAGAGGGTTAGCAGAGTTAGAGACACACTAATATTTAAATAGAGGGAAAGAGAGAGGAAGAGAAAGAGAGAGGGAGAGAGAGAGAGGGAGAGAGAGAGAGAGAGAGCGAGAGAGAGAGAGAGAGAGAGAGGGAGTGAGCGAGCGAGAGAGATAGAGAGATAGGGAGAGAGAGAGATGTTTAGGAGAGATATGCTACAAACACCAGGGGATAAAGGAGAGGGCCCATTGAGGTTGTATCAAGCTAAAACGTTCCCATACCTCAAGATAACAATGTTCCATCTAGTTAAAACAGCATCAGGGGATGATAGGATGATTTCTTTGAGAATCAACTGGCTCCAACAACACAATCATTCCCTGAGGCAGTCCCAAACAATCCCTTTTGGCGCTGGAATTTTCCCTTTGGTGTTCCTGGCCCCAGTCAGGAATGCTTCAGTGAGTTTGGGAATTTTATAAACATGTACTGTACTTAACGGCATAAACAATTTCATTTGCTTTATGAAATTGGGGACATAGCTAAGTATGGCTTAGTAAGGAAGGCATCCTGAAACAAAACCACACAGAAATGAAATGGCTTTTGGGACACAGACTAGCTAGATAATAGACACAGAACTGAGGTTAACAACCTTTACTTTACAATCCAATCTGCTGTCACTGTCTGGAGTGCCGAGTGGGAGAACATTCCAGAGCCCTGCAGCTATGGAACCTTCTAGAAGCATGCTGCACTGCAAGATTCCTGCAATGTTACAACCAAGAACTATGTCTGTAACTCCAGAATGGGAGTATAGAAGCTTCCAACAAGAAGGGTAAAACAGAGAAAAGAGGAGAAAAACAGTGTGTGTACGTGTGTGTGTACGTGTGTGTGTACGTGTGTGTGTACGTGTGTGTGTGTATGTCTGTGTGTACGTGTGTGTGTACGTGTGTGTGTACGTGTGTGTGTGCCAGCGATGGTCAACAGAAGGCTGTACCTGTCATATCACTCTCTCTCACACACACACACCTGTTCCCACATGGCCTCAATGTAAAGCAGCAGTGAGGATCCCATATGTTCTATAGTGCAGCCAGCTCTAGCAGTATAAAACAGTTAAACACACACCCATACATTGTATAACCCTTAGTGAACATGTGTGCCTAGTATATGTGTGTGTGTGTGTGTGTGTGTGTGTGTGTGTGTGTGTGTGTGTGTGTGTGTGTGTGTGTTAATGAGCGTTTATTCGTGTGGGTGTGGGTTAAATCAGTGTATTTGTGTGTGTATACGTGTATGAGTGTGTGTGTGTATCTGTGAGTGCATGTGTGTGTGTGTGTGTGTATGACTGTGTCTGTGTGGGTGTGTGTGTGTGTGGTTACCCAGCCCTTTGATTTGGTGTGTGACCCTCCATTAAGACCCGTGGCTCAATCCATCTCTCTAATTACAGGGGGGTTAGGGTGAGGGTTAGGGTCTCCACCCACTCTGTACTGCTCTGGTTCCCCCCACTGTCGCCCAGTAGTAGAGGCCGTGGTCTGTCTTTTTTAGAAAGTAATGACTGTTTGTTATTATAGGTGCCTCTGCTACATACATTCAGCTTCTTCTTTGGCCTCAGAGCTCAGCCTGAGTGACTCTGCTATGGAGTACACACACACACACACACAATATTGCCAGACACACGCATGTACACACTCACACACACTCTTGCCAGAGTTAGGATGGTTTAGGCAGTGTCAGCATGTCATTTGTGGACACCATCGGTTGCCACTGTGTGTCACACACACACACAAACACACGCACACACACACACACACACACACACACACACACACACACCGCAGTGCTCGGCTGAGTTGATGATGATGATCCAGGAAAGTAATATTAAGTTTGGTGGCTTTTGAATAAAACACCCATTCTGTGAATCAGAGGGATCTAAATAAAACACCCAGAATCAGCGGCTTGGAGGAACACAGATGGGGACATCAATGATTTATCAAGTGTCTATGAGGTATGCAGAGGCTCCAGCAGCCTTGGGATGAGGAGGACAGAGCAGGGCGTACAGCGCATTATGATGAGCAGATGAAACCCACTTAGACACTCTCCTGTTGCTTTGTCTGGCTGGATGGACAGGACATGACAACACTGATGGAGACAACCTGCAGTAATAATGAATGTGATGTTTGGCAGGAAGCTGTGTGAGGCTATGAAATATAAATATATAATCTATTACTTATAGAGAGCCATGGGTAGTGCTGCTCAGGGAGAGATTAGACTGCTTCCTAGGATGTCTTTTTTTTTTTTTACATCCAATAAAGTTGACACGCAGACCAGATCAAAAAGACCAAACACTAGTCAAACAACTGAATTACGTCAAGTGAACCAAGTCAAGGGAATCAAGTCAAGTCAATTAAATCACGTGAAGTCAATTGAATCAAGTCAAGTGAATCAAATTGAAGTGAACCAAGTCTGCTCAGATGCCCACATGAGGTCCAGTGAACCCTATCACCCCTCCTCCTACCCTGAGGTGATGGCAGGGGTCCTGCCTGAGCTGAAATCAGGAAAAAATGAGAGAATTTCTGTCGTTTGGAAAATTGAGTCCTGGATACGGAGGATACAGAGTGCTAGTCTGTTCTGTCCCTTTTCCCAGCCCGTTACTGTTGCCAGGTGCATAGAGAGAGGCTATATTATGGGCTGTATTATTTGTGTAATCCATTTAAGGGAAGTACACAGAGTACTGCTTTTGGGTCTCTGGCTTTTTCCTCTTTTTTTCTCCGTTAGACTTTTCCAAAGAAACAGGTAAGACTGTGGACCCCTGGGGACACGGCCTATCCAGCTATCGGTCACAAAATTCTAGACTGCTGACTGCCTCGTTTAACCAAACTAGCTTTGGAATGAGGAAAACGAGCTGTGAAGCCATGGAGCACAGAATTAGACAAACAGTTCAGATCCTATACTGAATGTCAATGCCACACAGTCACACAAAATCACAAATCAGGACAGATACAGTTCACTCCTTGAACAATGCCTTTCTCTTTCCAAGAAAAAAAAAAAATTCCTCTTATTACCCAACGGCCAGCGTCACACATGGGTCAGCCTGTCCAGTTAGAGTAATCGGGACAGGAAGTGATGTCAATGAACTCTGATAACGTACACACTCTGTCAGCTAATTCTGTATGTGTCATTTCCTGTTTGTGGACACCAAGGTAGGCTTCAGAAGGGCACAACGTACCAAAACGTTTTGAAACAGAAAACAGAAAGGCGTGTTCTAATTGGAAAGCTCAGTCAGCTGACAATAAACCCAACAACCAGGCCTCAATAGAAGTGCATGAATAGACTTCCATAATGAATAGACTTCCATAATATATAAATACTGTAGGCCTCAGTACAACAACAGCAGCTAAGTCTCAGCAACCACAACCCAAACCATTAAACACCAAACACAACCAGGGCCCCACTAGAAACTATTTGGCCCCAGTCACAAACACTGAACCTAAACACACAGACACACACCCATACAAACACACACACCAAGGATGTGGAAATGCAACAAACTACTAACTACAGGATTTGTGGAGGAAGAGGACAGTGGCCCAGGAAGGGATTTAAGACACACAGTAGTCATTGAGTCAATGATAAGTGGCCATCTTGTTTGATTATTTAGTGCTTTTGTGTTAGTTGACATCAACCTATAAGTTATTTATGTGTCTCTCCCCCTCACATCCACACTCAGTAAACACATAGTATCCATCCCAAACCCAGGCCTCACACAGAGTGCAGCCCTGATGACGATCTAAGCAGTGACGGACCAAGAGTCTATTGAAGGTTTTGACAGTTTTCTCCCTGTCCCAAGTTTGGAGGAAAAATGTGCATACCTCTTGCAAGACATAGCACAGTTAACACCACCTCTTCTTTCCTCACCTCACAACTCCTTTTCTCCCACTTCCCTCCTGAAATAGACATCGTTGTGCCAACTGCCAACCCTCTCTGATTCCCCATTCAGAGAAGTCTATGTGGACGCTGTCCAAATAAAGAGATGGTCCTTTGACTGAATACAGGGCTGAGCTTTGACAGGAGAAAAAAATAGGATAGAAGGCTCTCACTTGAAGGAAATAAGTTAAATAAACGACCTGTTTTTTCTTGTTTGTGTATAGTAAAGCTTTTTTGGCTGTGCACCTTATCCCTGCTAAATCATTTTGAAAGCGGCTCTTTTTCGGCACAGAAGCTGCGTTTGTGGCAGTTCTTCATCTCCGAATCTTGTCTGCGTGGTTTTCCCATCATACCTCCCCCTGTTAGTGGTTTCTCTTGCGTTTCCATGGCAGCCAGAGTAAACCAGGGTGTGCCTGTCTTGTGAAATGGTTAGTGCTATCCAGAATCCTTGGGACGTCCCTACCCTAAACCCTAACCTTAACCCCTACCCTAACCTTAACCTTAACCCTTACGTCCTAAGGATTCATTTTCCCTTGTGAAATATCACACCTGCCCATAATGAACTTTCACCTTTGTAAACACCTTCCCGATCGGCAGGCTTCCCATAACCGATTTCTGCACGCCGGTATCTTTCTCTATCAACCAGGGTTTCAGTTAACCGGTAACAGCCACCTTTTGGGCGATAAAAAAATAGAAAAGTCGATAAATAAAATTGGTGACGGCCAATTGTCCGGGAGAAGAAGAAAAAATCCCATTGCGAAATAATGCTTCTTAGCCAATTAAATGATGGAAATACCAGTCGATGGAAATACATTTGACTGGTCATGCTTATCGGTCTAAAGGTTAATTAGCATAATTTAGTGGAATTAAATTGGAGCGTGTGTACAGTATATTTGTTATGTATCTTATTTATCACACGCGTACAGCATACAGATACAGAGCCTTTGAGTGGAGAATCTGTCAGACAGTGCCAGAGCTGCCGCTCCCGCATCTCAAACAGCAGATGCATCGGCAACGGAAGGCAGGCTTCATCAGCGCGTCACAAACCACTTTGCAATGAGCTGGAGGCATTATGTATTTTGAAAACATATACTTAATTGTTTGAAACCTGAACGTTTTACTACATATTATGAGGCATGTCTTACCTTGCTTCAAAGTAGCCAAAATCAGAGGTAATTATTTTATATCAACTTTCTTTCATTGTCCAGTAGCCAAAGGCACAATTCTAGTTATATTAGCAACCCATGCTAGTTGTTGCATATTAGATCTCCCCTCTTTCTAAATTTCTAACGGATATTTTCTTCTCTGTCACATGAAACCGCTCGTATGTGCGATGCGCTTTTGAAAATTGTGTTTTCCTGTTAATTGCATTAAGGAACGAACATTCGTGCATAGCCTACTGCCCTGTGCGCAGTGGTGTGCTTACAATGTGAATAAATAATAGTTTATCAACATTTTAAGCTAAATGTTCTGATCTGTTTAAAGTATTTTGTTTATGTAGCCTAGGCCTACTGGTTGGATGAATTTGGGATCTATCGTCCCCCAACTGTCCCAGAGTCTGTTTGGAATAGGCTATTTCTTTCTAGACAAGCTGACCAATAAAATAGGTAAACTTTTCTACTATGTGGGATAGTGGATTGACATAGGCTAGTGATTTTACTCTTCGTTACTGGTCTTGTTGGCTGAGGAAAAGTAAATGTGGACAGTTATTCTAACATCTTCAAAGTGCACATCAGAATTAGGTAAGAAGGAACGCACATCTTTGGATCCTCGACTTGCATGTTCTGTTAATATAAATGTCCATAATCTAAATATGATTTCTGTCATTCTGAGCACTGTGGGGGGACACCCTAATCAGGTTACGCAACCAATGCATATGGGTCTGGTAAATTTCTCAAATGTCCGGTAAATTAAAATGTTGCCGGTCAAATGTCCAGCGCCACATTTTCCTAATGGAAACCCTGCTATTAACATTTTGTTGTGTTTTGAATGCGCTTCTCTGGAAACATTTTGTGATAAGTTGAAGCAGGGTAAAAAAGCACTACCATTTCAACCTGTCATTAGGGATCCTTTTATCCTAAAGACCCACATGAAAAGAGATGCCAGCTGTAGAAACCATCTCTCTCTCTCTCTCTCTCTCTCTCTCTCTCTCTCTCTCTCTCTCTCTCTCTCTCTCTCTCCCTCTCTCTCCCTCCCCCCTCTCCCCCTCTCTCTCCCCCCTCTCCCTCCCTCTCTCTCTCTCTCTCTCTCTCTCTCTCTCTCTCTCCCCCGCTCTCTTTCTCTTCCCATCTCTCTGTGACTCTGTCTCTTTCTCCCTCTCTCTAATGTCCTCAGTGGGGAAAGCCCTGCGGTCCTGCATTAGTAACTCTACTCCAACTGAAACACACAGAAGGACTAGAAGCTCATAGCCACATGTTTCCTCCTACTGTATGTGATTTCACACTGAGCCGGGACAGAATTATACTGTATACCGTACACACACACAGGCTCTCACTCTCAGCCAATCACATATGACACACATGCAAACATACCAACACACTCGCAAACAGACACGTACACTCAACCACCTCACAACATCTGCTGAAGAAATTCATCAGATTCCTCTGATGACAGTGAGAATGAGGCTGCAGAGATGTAGAGAAACATATATAAATCACTGGTTAAGCCTCACTATCTGTTTACATATCCATCCCTTCAGTCAGACTGGCATGGGACCAAAACACAGAGAGGAGAGAAGGAAGAGGAGCAGCCAATAAAAGGTTCTCACACACACATTTCTGTGGTGTGTTATGTGCATCAGCAGCCCCCTCCTCTACCCACTCCCCGTACCCCTTACCTCATGGGACCCCCTAGGCCGATGGATAAGCTCCTTGAAGGAAAAGAAGGGGACAGGAGAGATTAAGGGAGGGATGGAGGGAGTCCCAAATACAGGCTGGATCAGAGAGGACTACTGAATAACCACAGAGCTCCCAGAATCCCTCTGGGGTCATCATGTGACACAAACACAGTCAGGAAAAACAGCTGCTCTACATTCAGTACTGGGAGGAAATGAAAAGAGGGAAAGATAGGGAAAGAATGGGAAGGAAGGAGGGAGAGAGCAAGATAGAGGAGGGGAGGCAGTGAAAAGAAGAGAGAAGTGGGAGAGAGAGAGAGAAAGAAAGAGGCAATAGAGAATTGAAAAAGAGTTAGGATCAGTTCTTATTGGCATGTGTTACTTGCGTGAGGATATTATGCAGCACAAATGTGGACATTGATAGTGGACATTGACACACACACACACACACACACACACACACACACACACACACACACACACACACACACACACACACACACACACACAGACACAGACAGGTGTGTTTGCCAGACACTATTATGGTTGAAAGAAAGACACAAACATTCGCCCACGCTCAGGCATGCACACATACTCATGTGCGCAAACTCCAACTCCAACAATGCACCTAACCTCTCTGTAACCTTGGCCAACTGAGGACAACTGGTGTATCGTAGTATTTTACAGTGTCCTTTACTGCTATGAATGTAATGCTATATATGCTTTCCCACCACAATGTTATTCAATGTAAAACTCCATATAGAGCTTGGAGTTGAGTAATGCAATT